AGATTGTCCCGATGAGTCTATAGTTGCGAGATGATCTGTAATCTTAAAGTATTTAATGGAAAAACGAACACCAAATAAAATATAATTCAAAAAAATTTACCAGACCTTTTTTTAAAAGGATTTATCCTCAAATCATCAATTTTATATCTGCATAAGAAGCAAACTACAAGATATATGGTTAATTAAATCGTCACTTTCACCACCATCTGTTTTTCTCTCATTAATTACGGTATAGAAAATCTGTGGCCATCTAAAATAATCGTTTTGCCAAGAACATAAATAGTACTTTCAGGTATGCACCTGAAATATTTGATCATAATTTTATCACGAGTCTAAATTTTGATGGTCCTCGTCTAGTTATTTCTTGCCGAACAGGGAAAAAATTCGATACGCGGTAAAGGGGTTTAGCGCATGCAAATTTTAATTGGACATGCTTTAACTTTATAATAACTCAACTTTATGATTATGACATACTTTTCCATGTTCTCTCTTTTCTTCTTTGGGGCTGGGACGGCGGGAGTACACATCACATAAATGATATCAAGTTGTATTGGTTTTTCGCAACTTTGTCTAAAAACAATTTAGATTTAGAAAAATTAAATTTCAATCAAATCGAAACTAAAAAAAAATAGAATGATGATAAAAGGATAATGCTCAACCCTAGAAACTGACTACGAACTACATTATTGATTTTTAGTTTCTTCTTAGGCGCATTCTTTATTGAAATTTACCCACCATTTGGTAGTCACTGTTACGCATCATTAGCATTATGAAATCTTATTAAAGGAGACTATATTATACCTAACCTAAATTTTTACGAAAGTTCTCGGACTTGTACTTTGGTTTCATTATTCATTCCTAAATTTTATGATTTTGTCGGTTTTTTTCCTCAAAGCTTTCTCTATGCTTATATGTTTGCTGTTCGAGGAAAAAAAACTCTTCTTAATTCATCATGAGTACAAGAAAGTGAGAGTCGAAACTTGTGAATGGGTGATACTCAATTATTATAAATATGGGTCATTAATAATTTGTATGTGACCTAAATCTGCAAGAAACGTACCACTCACGAAACCAGCACCACGATTATGAGAATAAGATGCAACAGTGGCCACAAATTTTCCGACAAACCAAGCAGCTTCATGAAGAGACCAACCAGACAAGAGACCAACCCCCCAACACACACACACACAGAACTGAAAATCTACGTACGCAACAAATCACGTAGTGAAAGCCGAATATTATTATTCAAGGAAATAGTATTGGAAAAAGTACCTGCCAATTTAAATGAAAGCCGAATCCAATTCGTGACAGGTATCCTAAACTTCAATAAATACCACGCCTGAATATAATTATGATACCAATTACTTTTATTTTTGAAAGTAGGAAGATAAATATTACTACATTATTTCTTGATACATAGAATCATCCCCGTCCAATTGGGTAAACGGAGGGCAAGTTTAAAAGTAGTTTATATATCTGAGATCTTAAACATAGTCAAATTCGACATCTTTTTGCGAATCGGCCAACTTTTCCACGTTACTGGATGAAAAAGAAACCAGTGTCGGCATATGGATTGCAAATTTATCCAGTTCCTAGGAGACATTTGTGATATCTCTAGATTTTCTAATTTTCTTTTGTGTTGTAAAAATCAATTGTTGAATTACTACTACTGCACGTAATGGAAAAAGAGAAGGTACGTAAAATAAAAAGTCTTCAATGGTTGACAATTTGACTACGATCTTTGAACTGGGGGGACAAATATATATGTTTCAACATTTTCTTGTTCAAAACCAACTAAATCCAGCCTTCTCATCATTTTCTCCCTCCAAATTGAGTGAGTGATCTTAACCTTAGTGAAGATTTTAGTTCGCAACAATAATGAAAAATATGAAATAATCCGCGAAAAAGCCACGTATATTCTTATTCATGTATGCTAAGATATTTCTTGTCAGTGATAATAGTAGAAATAAATGTAATTAATCTATCACTATGGGCTAATTCAAACCTACTTTTTATTTTTGTATATATGGCTCCTTCAGTCCTATTATAAGATACAAATTAAAGCTAAATGTAGTTTAAATTTGTGTTTCATAGGAAAAATAGGAGGAAACACAGTTTTAACTAGGTAAGGAACTTAACTCATTTTATTATCAGTTGAAAAAGAAAGTCCATTATATAGGAAACTTTTTTTTTCTCCCTTTTCATAAATATCTAATAGGATAACTTCATAAAATTTGACAAGTCAAAGAAACATACTCTACCCAGGACGGTATAAATAGTAGCCTTCCATGAATTAAGATAACACGAATAAATCCTTATTTTTGAGACATTGATCAAAATGAAGTTAGTATTCGTCCTTTGCCTTATTCTCTCTTTTTCAGCCAACTTTCCACTAGGCTCCGCACAAGATACACGTCCGCAGGCAGTGCTAGACACCTCCGGCCGGGCACTCCGCCGCGGTGTCAACTACTATATCCAGCCGGCATCACCTAATGACGGCGGCGGACTAACGCTTGCTAGCGGCCGAAACGGCAGTAGCTGCCCGTTCGAAATCGTGCAAGCATTGAACAAAGGTGCAAAAGGCCTCTTGTTACATTTCTCGCCGGTCAACGACGATGACATTGTCCGGGTCAACACCGATCATAACATAAGGTTCGTCAATTTTTCGGGATCCGACCAGTGTCCTCAGTCCAACGTGTGGAAGCTAGACGCCACCGGTGAATCGCCACCGTTATTTATTACAACTGGCGGAGTTGAGGGAAACCCTGGACGTGACACCTTGCCCAATTGGTTCAAAATTCAGAAATTCGAAGACTCGTATAAAATTGAGTCGTGCCCTAGCATTCCATGCCAACCTTGTCGAGTTCTTTGTGGCGATATTGGGATTTTCGACGACAATGGAACAAGACGTTTGGCTATAAATCAACCACCTTTTAAGGTTGTATTTCGAAGGCCCTAAATTTAGTTAAGATTTTAGGAAGATTAGTACTACGTATGTTGATATCATCACTGATTAATTAAACAAGTTTGTGTACATGTTACATGCACACATGTTGATGCACGTGTATGTTCCAGAAATAAATAAATAAATTATTTCGGTTATTTGGCTTGTTAATTTTGTAACTTATAGTTTTCGTTTATTTTTACGGCATTGTGTGGTTCTATCCCATTTTATTGATCCAAGTCCGATACGAGAGAGTATAATACAAGTATTTCAGAAGATTGATGCATATATACATTCTTAAAGGTTATACACTAACTAATGAAAATTAATCAATAACACTCTTCCCATCCTAAAAAAACATCATTTTGCCCGTTATTGAGTACTTCATATACTAGGCATTTTTCTTTATCTCTTGTGAGTGAATGAATTATTTTCCTGTAGTCATATGCATGGTCATAAAAAAATCCTTGATTTTAGGTATACTGGAAGACTTTCTTTTGTTCTTCGTCATTTAAGTTCGTTTTGAAAGATTAGGCATTTTTTCAGGATTTTCCTTGTAAGATTTTTCTTTTAATGGAAATTCCCCCTCCACACTCTTCTCTCTCCAGAATAAAACCTTTCACTAGTAATTTCTCTTCGAAAAGAACAAACTGCCTAAAGAATCAGCTCCTTTCATTATAGTTCTCCTGGGGTCATTTCCATTTGGTTGTATCATGGACAGTACATATTTAGGAGTGTAAGATTAATAATCCTCAGAAATAATTAACTTGCGCTTTACTTGTGGTCTACATATACATTTCATCCGTGACGAAATAATTGTGACGTTAGTTTTATAGAAAGAAATATGTATTTACCCAAAACATAGCGCAGCAATTCGGTTTCTCGTGGAGGTATACCCCCATTTTGAATGAAAGACTGATTATTGAAAGATTGGAGAGGACAACAAAGAACTGTTTTGTGTCATGAGCATATGGCTTGATGAGATTACTTTTTTTTTTCCCCCTTTTTTTTCGGAAGCAAAACAGATTTTTTCATTACGATTATTTTAAGAAATAACTATTCTAGGAAGTCAAGGTATAAATAAACCATGATATGAAATTCTACCTTGACGATAAATGTAGGCCTATTCAACTCAAACTTTATTATTAATGAATGAAGAGACTAATGAAATTTGTGTCTAGACTACTGAGAACAATTTTCCAATATGAAAACAATGTTACTTTTCCATATATTTTCATTAGATCGGATAATCCAACTGCTTGTTATGTTTCACATTGAGATCTTTAGTCAAAAGTTTACTTCAATTTTAGTTCTTCCAAAAAAGATTTTTCTGCACGTGTAAACCTTAAAGATAAGTAGATGATGAACTAGCTAGTTAGGCAATGTTGAAAATCGTGAGGCATTTTAAGCAATAATTCAAAGCAAAGAAAACGTTTTGGTGCTTCATTTTGATCCACGTATATGTACAAGCTTCCGTGGTAGTACAAAACTTATACGTAACCTCAAATTATGTGAGAATATTTATCATAATTAACCTTACTTTATATCCCATAGCGTGATTATTGAGTAACAATTTTGTTTCTTAGATCGCAATATGATTAAATTTTATTTATCTATATTCCAAAAAAAAAATCCAAATAAAATTTTGAAATTTATACTAAAAACAATATAAATATCAAAAACTCAATTTGATTTTTTTTTGGGACGAAAAGAATATATAATTTGAAATAAATTTGAAAATATACATATAATGAAATTTATTCTTAAATGGTTAAAAATTGTCCTTTAAAGTGACCTGTAAGTTTTATTAGTATATTTTCTCCCTCACATCATTAGCAATAGACAGTCTTCTTTTGCATTAATTGTTACCCTGAATTCTGATCTTCAGACTAGTTTTCATGTAGTAATGCGTATATTGAAAGAAATATTAATAAAATATTATTACTTATGATAAAGAAAATACAAAACTGTTACTTGTTCGGTCCCACCTATATTTTTCATTGTCAAACCAAAATAAATAAATAACTCTTTTCGTCCAAAAAAAATGTTTACCTTGCGTTGTACTAAACGGAGGAAATGTTATTTTTCTTGTACGTGTAATTACTAAGACTAATAATCATCCAATATAAAAACCATCTAGCGAGAAATTCAATATATATGTGTCGATATTCAAAGCTACCTAGCTAGCTTTCACTTAACAATCCCGGAAGAAATGAAGAGCTCGCCAAGCTTTACATTGTTCTTTTTTCTGCTTATAGCACTGTTTGAACCAAACTTTTTAACTTCCACGGCACAAAATGTCTCTTCTAATCCAGTGATTGACACTACCGGCGAGTCACTCCACCACGGTAACATTTATTACATCTTGCCAGCGGCAGGCGGTGAAAGCAGCAATGGTGGCGGTGGAATCACACTACAGATCGGCAGAAACAACAGCTGTCCGTATGAGATTGTACAAACATCGGAGAAGAACTCAAATGGTCTCCCCTTGAGCTTCTCACCGGTCACAAATGACAATCTAATCCGGGTAGACACCGATCTAAATATCAAGTTCGTCAACAATACTCAAGTGGGTTTTCCGGTAACATGTCCTCAATCAAGCGTGTGGAGGATTAACTCAACCGGGAGTAATCCGGTTTTCGTTACTACCGGTGGAGTTGAAGGGAACCCTAGTCTTCAAACGTTGCCGAATTGGTTCAAGATTCAAAAGTTTGAAGATGGCTACCAAATTCAATATTGCCCGAGTGCTTCATTGTGTGGGAAGAACCCTTGTGGCGTCTTACTTCTTTGTGAAAATGTTGGTGTGTTTGTGGATGATAATGGAGCAAGACGCTTGGCATTAAACCAAGCACCGTTCAAGATGGTGTTTAAAAGGGCTTAGAGAATTCGTATAATATTTATAATATGTAGTCACCAATTGTAGTTCGAGTAAATAAAATGGTCCACCAGATGATGATGTTGCCTTAGCTATATCATGATTCATGAATAATATCCTTAGGTTCCTATTTAATGTAATCCATCGAAAGAGTAAAAATGTGGGTAATAATATAATAAATTTATGAGTACTTAGATGTGGTGTCTTACTCTCTTTCAACATTCTTTTATTTACAAAACCAAACTGCCATAATCATTCTTACACAGACAATGAAAAAGTAAGATGGCACTTCAAGAAAAAGAATAGTTAAAGGAAAATTGATGGTACTTCAAAAGGAAAACAAAAAAAAAAAAAAAGAAAAGAAAGTAAGATGGTGATTGATTTCGCATTCACCAGTCCACTGCAAAATCTTTTTTTTTTTTCACCCTCCTTTTTGGACCAATTGATGGAAATAGAAAAGAAATCCTATAGGGTCCAGTAATTTTCTGAAAGTAGAGATCCAAAGGGGAGACATATAGCAAACATTAAAAAAATAAAAAATAATTTTTTAACAAAAAAAAAAAGAAAATATTGATAGTAATAGAAAAGAATTCCTGTTGGGTCCAGTAATTTTCTGAAAGTAAAGATCCAAGGGGAAGATAGAAAAAATAAAAATTGACGTACTGTTACGCAAAAGATTTTTCTGTAACTTTGTTGGTATACATTTCAATATTGTGAAACTTTGTTCATAAATTAGATTAAAATACTCTTATTAATTAATGCGGGTCAAAAGAAATGCATAATTCGAATTTTAAAACCTATCACAAAAGTTAATATTGATCCGGACCACTTCTTGTGCATATCGAGATCGAAATTGTCATGAAGACTTTTCAACAGATCGAATTATCAATTATGATCAGGGCTGCGAAGCATGCAATATTCAACAAATTAAGATATACATCATTTTCATTCCATGCAGTATATTTAAACTGCAAATCTAAGTACGCAATATATGCATACGTTTACATCCCCAGCCAAACGTGTCCCCCAACAACCTTATATCGTTCTCCAATCGCAACATGCTTAATGTTGAACATTGAGATCACATACTTCCGTAACCAAATGATCTTTCCATCATATTCTACTTAATTCAAAAAGCACCTCCTTCTTTGTAGAAAAAAAAAAAAAAAATGCAACCCAACATACCCCACCGACCCAAAAGTCGTAATTCAATAGATCCGTTTTCATTGTTCCCATCACAATGTCATCAATTTAATTTTGACTAGCATATTTTTTTTGGTGTAGTACACGCATCTAGTATCTGAATTCATTGTTTCGACTAATTCGGATTTAAGCTATATGTTTTTGATATATTATGCATTTTCAACTAATCCGAATTCAAGTCATGTAAATCTCTTTCGGGAGATTTTGACTAGTATACTTCATCCTACAATATAAATTCACGCAATCCTTCAGAAAATTTTATCATCATAACAATTAGTGATTAGTAAAGGAGATAGTAGTCATTCATTTCAGTTGTAAGATTTATCCAATGGCGACTCTCTTCCAGAGCCTACTTTTTTTCACAATAATAGCATTCATCGCATCATTGGGTTCAGCTCAAACTGAGCCCGTCCTGGACACCGATGGCAACCCCGTCCAAGTCGGGGTAGATTATTATGTTGTTCCTCCGGCAGGAAACAACACCGGCGGTGGCGGGTTGGGGTTACAGAGCTCCGGAAACCAAACCTGTCCACTTGACGTCGTGCAAGTTTTGGAACAAAACTCATATGGTCTCCCACTGTTCTTCCAATCTGTAAATCCTAATGAAAAAGTTGTCAACTTAGGAGTTGACCAAAATGTCCAGTTCAATGCCTCAACAATTTGTATCATGTCCACCGTATGGAGGCTTCAATTTCAATCAAATGAGCAAATGAATCTTTATTATGTGACAACCGGTGGAGTTGCCGGAAATCCTGGACGTGAGACATTGAGCAATTGGTTTCAAGTTGAGAGGTTTGAAGATGCATATACGTTCGTTTATTGTCCTACGGTTTGCGATATATGTAGACCAGTTTGTGGGAACATTGGGGTTATTGTGGAAAATGGAAGGCGTGTTTTGGGAATTAATAGATCCCAACCACTCAAGGTTACATTCAAGAAGGTGTGAAAAAAGAAGCACGTAATTAGAATACCCCTAGAAAATAAGTGAACATATAGTCGTTCCCAAAAACATATTAAAATGAAAAAAATAATATTGTATGCGTGTGGTGGTCTGTAACTTGCAATGAAGACTACAATAATACAAGAATTTTTTTCTGTTTTTTATTAATACTTGTATTCACTCTGTCCAATTAAAATTCTAATCACATCGTAATCTGTGAATTGTTTTAAAAATAGTATTCCCTATGTCCCAAAATTATTGTCCAGTTTGAGATTTTACTTTTAATACAATTTGAATTAAAAATGAAAACCCAAACTGGACAATAATTATGAGACGGAGGGAGTACAATTTGAAAATTGTGAAATGAATATTATTTCACGTGTTTAGTAAAATCAAACCACCTTTTAAGGTGGTGCTAAAAAGGTCGTGTAAAGTAATGAGTAATCACTATTCTTCTGTTCAATTAAAGGTTTCATTATATGACTGTCGCGTTTTAAGAAAGAGTGATGATACACAACTCACCTAATTTATCTCACCTTATATGGCATTTAGTTATTGGATGAAATATAATAATCTAATTAATTATTAGATAAAATATAATAAGTTAATATAATTATTTTTTTGTTAGATTCATTTATTTTTTGAATACTTTTATATCTAAAATTTTACAATAAATAGACCATAACCCCTAAAAAAGTAAACCCTTTAGGGTAAAATTATAACTAAACAAAATATAATCAGTAGGCCGAATATTAATAAGAAATATATTTATATTTTAATTAAATTATATAAATTTAAATAACAAATGCATTGCCCAATCAGTAGATGCCATGTAAGGTGAGATGATAAGGTGAGTTATTTAGGTGAGCTACCTATCATTATTTTTTAAGAAATGAGGCTTAAAAATAATGTAGTATATTAAAGCCCAAACAATTATGTGCAAAACCAATTGCGTTTCAAAAATTATCCTTAGTCATTTTTTATCGCATTCCACGTTTAGAAAATGGAACAGATATGTCATTGTTGTTATTTATACAAAGTCTCATGCAACAGATGTCATAACATGGAAGATAGGACGCAAGTTTCTTATATCAGTTAGAATTTGTTGATTTCCAACGAGTTTAATAGGATTTTTTTTTTAAAGGAAAAAAAAACTGTAGATCATATCGTGTCTTGAGCAGCTTCCTATCAACTTCTGTTCCCATGCATAATCCATCGAAATGATGAACAATGTAATATATAAAAGGGACTAGCTGAATGATCAATGTCACTTTTTCTCTGTGTAATACGCACTCATCACATAGAAACGTTATTATTTTATAACAAGACATATTGCATACGATACGAGTGATGAATAACGTAGTCTGTTTTTTTTTTGTTTTTTTGGATAAAGTGTAAACTTCCATTTCATCACAAACAAGTCATTTACAATATGTACAATCTATGTAATCAGAATTCTGAAACTTTCTAGCAGTCTTACATCATCGCCTTTACCATTTCTAAACTGATGAATAATTCTCCAAGTGATCTCATTTTTCAGCTTTTCAAACCTTTGCCCTACTGTCATTTCCTGATCTCCAAATCTTCGAATATTCCTCTCAGTCCATATATGATGTATTGCAGCATTCAGTGCACCATGAAGAACCTTCCTTCCCAGTGATTTCTGCTTCCAGATATGCAGTAATCTGATGGCATTCAGCTTCTCAATTCCAACTCTGATTCCCAGCCACTTCCTGATCAAGTTTATCAGGTGCTGTGAGAAGGTGCACTCAAAAAATAAGTGTGATCATGTTTCCAAACTTCTGTTGCAAAGTATACAGGTTGACTCATCAACTGTCTCTTACATTTTCTCCAATCTTTCACAAATTAATTTTAGTATAAACGAGATAAATATTTTAAAATTACTGAAATACTAGGTAAATGACAGACAAAAGTGAGATTATAAACTTCATTTAAGACAAACATGAAACTGGATACTTTTACTTAAAGTGGTAGATTGGAAAAACAATGAGTGGATGATTATGGTTTAAAGAAAAAGTAAACAGAGATGGCCAACGATATGTAGATTAGGCTTTGGAGCATCCTAAGTGGTGTACAGTTTAGAAAAGACAATATTCATTGGCAGGGGTCATCCTCCTCTCCTATTTTTTTTTTTATTAAATAAGGGTTTAATTTTTCAGTTTAAAATTTTTGAAAATTAAAATACCACCCGTACAATATGAATAAATATCATTTCATCCCTCCTATTAAGGATTTCTAGCTCCGCAACTGGCAATATTGTTGTCGTCTTAGGATTAATTGTTCAATTCAATTACCTCTTCTTGAAGTACGTAGTCAAATACTATTAAGTAAAAATGTTGATAATGTGTTACAATCTTAAGTTTTTTAGGCTCTTCAATATACAGTACATACATGCATTTATTGGGAGAAATGGAAATTTCGTCGACTATCACATTAATTTAATTTTTCGAACTCCCCAATTCAAATTGAATTACAATCTTGCGCTGGAAAAAAAAACTAAAATCAGTATCATGGATCAATGAATATATATTTGTTAGAAACTTGAACAAGATCCTAATAAACGGGATAAAGTTTAGAATGTATGTGTGTCAATAAGAACAATTTTTCAACAGAGTTATCAATATTTCTAAGGCTGCAATCTTTGTATAGAGAATATGTGCACGTAAGATAGTTGGATAATAATTTTGAACTGCATAAATTTCAACTATAGATAGGATCATATGCATTTTCGACAAGATTCTATAATATTAATTCAGGTTGAACCTAACCTATTAGCCGCCAAAAAACTGCAAAATCAAAAATCCTTACGGTCATCATTATCATTATCATTATGAAATTCTGAGAAGATAAACATAGTTTTAGAACGACTTAAATTAGTCTATGACAAAGGAGACAACAACCATTTGGTTTCAATCGTCAATGAGAGTTAGTTGATTGGCATAGGTGGTCAATAAGGCTTAAGAATTTAATGATTCGGGGTAATGAATAATTATCACTGAAAGGCAGGTAATTTGGTTATGATGGGGCTGTTTACTGGTAACGAAGGGAAAGATGAAGAATATCTGATCAAACAATAAATCATAGATAACAAGAACTGAAATGTATCAAAACCGGATCATATTAGATAGGAAGGTAGACGACCCTTTTACTTTCTCACTCTGTCAAATGACTATTCACACTCTCCCAAGTGACAGTCTGTTCAGTTTATTTTCTTTCTTTGCACATCAATCAGATTTTGAGTGATTTACTGCCATCTCTGTGGATCGACCTTGCTTACCGCCAGCTAATAGTTTTAAGTAGGTTAATATTTCTTTTGGAAATATCAACGACCGCTCCACCAAAAAGTTGTCAACTTAGGAGTTGACCAAAATGTCCAGTTCAATGCCTCAGCAATTTGTATCGTGTCCACATTGTGGAGTCTTCAACCCGACGATCAAACTTTGACTCGTGTTTATGTGACAACCGGTGGAGTTGCCGGAAATCCAGGACATGAGACATTGAGCAATTGGTTTCAAGTTGAGAGGTTTAAAGATGCATTATATGTTCAGTTATTGGATTGTCCCACGGTTTGTGATACATGTAGACCAGTTTGTGGGAACATTGGAGTTATTGTGGAAAATGAAAGGTGTGTTTTGGGATTTAGTGTTCAACCACTCAAGGTTACATTTAAGTTAGTGTGAAAGAAGAAGAAGGTTTATATTCCTAGATAATAAGTGAACATATAGTTGTTCCTAAGAAGATATTAAAAAAAAGACAAAACACACTTTTGGTCTCTAAATTATGGGGGATTACAACTTTTGGTAACCATTAATATTTTACTAATAAAATTAGTCAACACCTTTTCTTTTATTCAACAGTTTTTGTCAATTTAACGGTCAACTAACAGTCAACTCTTTTTTTTGTTAATTTTTTTAATTTTTTATTAATTTTTACTGAACTGAGACCTGCAATATATTTTCAAACAACAAAATCAGTCCCCAAATATATATATATATATATATATATATTAACAATTTTAGTCACTTTACAGAATTTTTAAAAATTTAATGGCCCAATTCAATTTTCCTCTAAGTCTTTATTTTTTTTATTGATTACTTAATAAATTGTGGGTCCCATAATTCTTTGTTATTTATTGATTACTTAATGACCATTCTGTGGCATATATTTCAATGGCAGAATGACGATTATCAGATTATGTATTTTGCTGAATTGGGTGTAGCCACTCATTATCAAATTAGCCCTCTTCAAATTCATCAAGGAAATATATGCTTAGCAACAAAATCATTGAATCAAATGGACAAAAATTAACATGAATCGCTAATTGATAACTTCTGTAGAGGAGCTAAGTTTGAAACATAGTTAATAAAAGTTTATATTGTTGAAATAAAAATATAAAACACTAGACCACATCACGAACAAATAGACAGATATGGCCAAAGGGCCTCAAGTATCGGTCTCTTTCTTCAAAACATTTTTCAGCTCAATTTCTAAATTGGTCTTCACCAAACCACACTCTTTCCTCAAATTTGAGCAAACCTCTCAAATTCTACCATACTCTTCTCCTCACATTTGTGAATAAGATCAACATATAGTGCTTCAACCTTGTTAGCAGCATAGCTGCAAAACAACAAAAAACTTCGTGTAATCACAGTATGTAGGTAAGAAACGTAGAATCAGATAGTCGTTGCAGTCCACATCCACACAAGCAAACTGTCACTAAAATCATATTGATAAAATTTTGATGAGCGACAGCAGAGATGGTTAAATTTAAAAAAAAAGTATGATTATGAAATAATTTTATTGAGGGCAGTGATTTATTTACCACAAATTATAAAATAAAAATATTTGTTTAAAGACATCATTACCCTTATTGTTTAATTTACTTACAACATTTAAATCCTCCATGTTGTTCCAAGCTTTAATGTAATCACATTCATTAAACCCTACAAATCTCACGTTGTGTTGGGTTATTCCTTCTCAATGATCCTCAAGGCAAAAAGAATTGAGAAAAAGAGGCGAATGACTGATGAGTGATGACAAGTCATTCAGTTAATAAACAAACAGAGGCAAAGTTGGGACAGAGGACGCTTATCGCAAACAAAGAATTGGGATCTTGCAGAAGAAACACTGCAATGAGGTACGTTAGATTGACATCGATCATTCCTTTTATGGTAGAGATATTGCAGATGTGTGTGAGATGCGAATATCAAATTTGTGGAAACAATCTAATTGAAATTCTATATCTGTAATTCTTAAGTAAAAAAATAATAAAATAAAATGAAATAATTCGGAAGTATGCAGTAATATTTAACTAATTTGACTGGTTTTGATCTTTACAAAAAAAAAATGATTGGTTTTGTACTTCAATTGAAACGTAATATCCTAAAAGTAAAAGGATTACCTTAAAAAAAAAGTAAAAAGATTAGATTTTATCCCCTTTTAGTGAAAGAAGGGTAATTATGTCGGTACACAAATACTACTTTATTTTATAATTTGTGGCAAATAAATCACTGTCATTACTCATTAATAAAAAATATTACAGAGTCATATCTCTTTTATTAGTTTAGCATCTCCACCCCCATCTAAATTTTCCCATTTCTATTCCCTCCGTCCCAAAATTATTTTTCCATTTAAATTTTATTTTTTAAATAAATTGAACTAAAAGTAAAAATTTAAACTGGATAATAATTTTAAAAGAGAGGGAATATATTTGTTTTTTCTTGCAAGACATATGTTTCAACTTTCATGCTGGATCGATCGTATGTTTCGCGAAGACGCGAGTGTTTATGTGTTAAATCATTTTAATATTAACATGCTCTTTTGACCAAACTCTTTCTATTTCAGATTCAAGCTTATTCAGTTATTCGGCCCCCATGTTGTTAGAATTGGAAAACTCCATCAAGTCAATACCAACCAAAGTGGAAAAAAAAAAAAAAAAAAAAAGACCTCCCTAAAGTCAGAAATCCAATCCATAATCATCTTCGTTCCTAGCAGCCAGCAGGCCAATTTCATCCTGTAGTTTTTGACTAGTAATTCATCTTTCTCTACAAATTTAAGTAGTCGTTTTAGAAACTTGTGTATAGTCACTTCACAATAGAACATGTCTATATAGAGAGAGAGAACAGAAAATATATTGAACTCTCAGAAGGGAATCGAACTCAAGCAGCCTCTCCTATCTATCTATATCAAGCAAATTAAATTAAGCCTGATGCAACCACAGGATTTCCTCCTACATAAACCTAAGTCCTGCTAGTCTACTACTATGAGTCCGCCATCTCGTCTTGGATCTCATTCGGCGCAATCAACCCTGGAATGGACAGCATCCGCTGCCTCTCTTTTTGTCGTTGCAGGGCGGCTTCTTCCGCGTAAAGATCCTTGTTGTCCTGAGCTGAAAATTCTCTCGATTGCACAAGGAAGTCTCTCATGTGATGCTTAAATTTCGAGAGATCGGTCCTTGTTTCGAAAAGTCCGTTCACAAGTTGCACAACCTCAGCTGCGATCATATTTGGAAACGATGTACTCAAAAGTTTAATGGTATTTTCGCGTACAAACATTCCATTATTCGGATAAGAAACTATGGAAGCGTCCCACAATGGCTCCGTTAACGAACCTGATTCTACGAGGCAGAACAAATGCTGCAGAACTAAAACGTGCAATTTGAACCCTGGCTTATGAAATGTGTCTGTTAGAACCGCAAATATATCTTGTTCAATCATTAAGAAATATACTAGGTAGAATTGATTGCAGAACTCGGAGGCCTGGAAGTTCTTGAGCATCTCATATAAAAGAGTCAATCCAGTTTCAGCTATATTCCTTTCAGTATGCCGGAAAGCCCAGAAAATGGAATCCATCACAAGCTTAAGTTGCTCACTCGACAAGCGAATCAGGGCTGGAAAACAGTGCTTAGCAATGGCGCGAAGCAACGAGAAAAACTTGAGCCGATGTTCAGGATAATCCTCAAAGTTCTTAGTAATCATCTCCAAAGTACATTGGAAAACAGCTTCGAAAATCCGAGGAATATCTTCTGTCATTTTACATCTATACCTGTTTATGATTGTCGCGAAAAGCGATAGAACTTCCGACTCTCTAGCATCAGGCAAATTCCGGGCATAATCACCTAGTATAGGATCCATCATTGGGGGAACAAATTGCTTCGCAATCTGTGCCTGATTTTCAGCCTTGTCTAAAAAGGTCTCAATGAGTTTAAGTGTTTCCCTCTTTACTGATCTCAGGAGTTTCACAATCGACGTCTTAGAGGCTTTCGGCCCTCCTTGCGCAATGCCGATAGATATAAGTTCACTATACATTCTATACACATTGAGCATGTCCAGAAAGATTAGAGATATTTGAGACAAGAAATACTTCCCAACCGAACTCGCAACACTAGTATTAGTCTGCAAAATATTCAGCACCACCTTAATAACCCCTTCATCTTTCAAGAAATCGACACTACTATGACGAGCTTGCGCTATGATTTCATTCCATCTTTGATTAGGAAGCTGCATCAATCGCTGCAAATATTCATCCCTTTTCTTTGGGTCGGTTTCAGCTCGAATCATGTGACCAACAGAGTTATAAAATGTATGAATCTGATGCGGCTCGAGATCAGCGATCGCTGGTGGAAGAAGAGTTGTCAAGAGTTCAGACACAAAGGGTTCAGTTTCTCCAGGTTGGACAATAACAAATTTCCTCTTGCATTTCTGAGCAATCTTCGAGAAAGTGTCGCAGGCCATGTCCTGAATTCCAGGATGGGTCTCGTGCATGAACTCGAATAACTTATTTACAACTATTTTCAGAAACCTCCATTGAGCCCTGAGGAATCTTGGATATTGACCAACCACATACATTATATTACTGGCAATCACAGCTTTGTTGTCTTTGCCATTCTTAATTTCATGGAGTTTCAACAAGTTATGAATCACCCTCAAAACAAATACAGTTTCCTTTTCATCCATCATGGACCCGGATATAGATCCTATTGCCCAACATAGAGTATTCAGGTTGTTCCAACTCCAGTCTTCTTCACCATTGAGCTGCTCACTCAACTTCATTAGCATCTGTTTTTCGGTGTCTTCCTGATCAAGATGAGATAAATATATTAGAGTCTCCCTCATGCTCTTGTATTGCGCAAGAACATCGTTTTCCTTCAAGGTTTCGCGAACAATATTCCCATTCTCATCTTCTACAATCAAAACCTCTTCGGGTTTCGCCATTCTCGAAATCATCAGTGACCTCAACTTTGACATGGGCCCAACATAAAGCTGCCTTCTATGCATCACCTGTGTTCCAAGGCCATCAACAGCTACCCCTGGCTGGATCAACGGCGTCTCCAGTCCCATCATACTGGCAGTTACAGCTGGATGGTCCGAATTGTAGTCTAACTCAAACAGATCCGAAACTAGCGAGTTCCAGTAGTCTAAACAAACCTTAAACACTTCTGTGTCATCCACATATGAGATATTAATGAGATACTCAAGCCCTAGTAACAGAGAACCGCCGTTTTGTGGCTCTAAAACCCGAATATGAAACTTGAAGAATGTTGTGAGAAACAATGCCAAATTCTGAACAAAAACCTGATCCTCAGCACTACCAATAGCATAAGCTTCGGCTATATTTAGGTTATTAAGCGGCAGAATGGTCTGAAGTTGAGCCCCAAAAACATTGTACATCTCAACATATTGTGCATTGTAACCGTTCCCAAAATTCAGGGCAGCAACCTCAATCAAACATTCGAGTGCGAGATTTCGATACTCGGGAACAGGGAAAAATTTAAGAAGTGTTTCCAGGAGGGGTGAAAGAAATATATACCCAAGAGGAATCCATGAAAGAAAAGCCTGTAATGTAGCCAATGTAGCCCTGATGAGTTCAATTCTCTCAGATGCTGAGAGAACAACGTACAAGCATAGCTCATGAATAAGCTGGAATTCGGTGTTGAAAGATTGCTTAAGCTCTTGAATCTTTTGTTGAGTCATTTCTCCGTAGGAGAAATCGAAAACCTCTTCGCTTAAAAGCTTTAATATAACCATACAGTTTTCGCAAATCGTGACGCTGGTTTTCGCAGTGGAAACTAAATCAGGGATGAAACTCGGCCACCGAGTTGGCCACTCATGCTTCAAAATCTGAACCAAGATCACGTTTAGCTTGTTGAGATAGAGTCTTTCGGAGCGGAACGAAGCCTCGTTCCCTGAGATCTTTACGATTTCATCGGAGATGTAGTTTTTCATCCCGTCTCTTTGTTCAGCTGGCAATGAATTCCATCTATATCTAATGACACTTTCCAGGACTTGCAAAGAGAAAAACTTTGTGTTTAACTGTTTTGTGCTTGATAGAATGTGAACCACTTGAAGCCACGTGTCGGGGTTGTTTTGTAAATCCCTCAAAATATGATCGGCGGCAGCTCTCTCTTCCTTGGATCCGGTGCCGTAGAAGGCGGCGACGGTGGCGTCGAGTAATGGAACATCAATCGGCTGACTTAAATCTCTAAGCTTTTCGGCAGCCATGACTTTACCTAGATCAAACACACAGATAAACCCTAGCCAATTTTGATTACAAAAAGATGACTGGAGGAAAACCCCTAGACGGAGGAAGGAGGTCGGAGGGGGGGGGGGTAAAAAAAATTACCGCTCTGTGTGAAAATTTGTTTTTCGTTTGGTGCTAGGAAGAAATAGAAACACTAAAACCACTTATATAATGCTTTTCATAATAAATTCGGCGATTGGTTTGTCTCTCCTTGTCGGTTAAGTATTTAAGAGAGTCTTGTTTCTCAATAAGGAAATTGAGAAGGTATTTATTTACTTAATCATATATGTCTAAGTTTTAGACATGTTAAATTATACTCCCTCCGTCCCATAATTATTGTCCAGTTTGATTAAAAGGAAAGATTTTATTTTTTGGTCAAACTTAACTATATTTTAGGTTAAACAACCAAATATACCCTTGCAATAGCGACTGTTTTACAGACAAAGTTTCGGCACCCATCTCCCCCGATAGAAGATGATGATGAGAGCAGGCTTTTGACTAGTTTTCCCCAACCCCAGTTAGTGTATTCAATCAAAATTCAATAACAACAATCGAAGAAAAAATAGAACTATTCAACCTCTTCGTTCTTCTTCTTCGTCGGAATTAATGCATTCCGGTGCTCTCAAGTTAATGGTTGCTGAGACTTCTCCAAACTGCCACGATTCCATCGCCACCAAGCCAATTCTAACTCAATCACAGATCTGGTTTTCGGGTTTAATCACTACAATCAGAGTTTGAACAAAATCGGGTAAAAAATAATCTAAATCACGGTTCCTTCTATTCTCCTCTTTTCTTCCCCCTCTCACTAATTGTCTGTTTTCTCCCACCGCCCAAACACTCCCTCTCTTGCTTGCATCCAATACATCACTCCCTCTCCGTTAAATTAGAAAAAGAAATTGGGCCTAGGAAATCCGAAGCTTTCGAATCGGCAAGAAAGAAGAAGTGGAAAGTGGTGAAGGAGGAAGAGAGAGAGAGAGAGAGTTAAAGTGGTTGTGCTGGCGGCGAGGGTGAGAGAAAAGGATATCACCGCGTTGAATGGCATAAGGCAGCGTCTTGCATCTCCTCCCTATTTATTCTCTTTCTACAGTATTGCTAAAGGTCAAATATGTAATTTAATCCATAAAAAGTCAAATTGGACAATAATTTTGGGACAAAATTTTTTTGGCAAAGTGGACAATAATTATGGGACGGAGGGAGTAATTTCTTATGATTAAAAGGTTACTTTGTTAAATAAACCTATCGAATAGCATGTAAATCGGCAATTGCTTGTGGAGGTTGATAACTTGAGCGTTGTCAATATGGTTGCCGGAGATATGGAAGGGTGTGATAGAAATAGAGCACTGCTAATGGCTATTCGTGACCTTTTGAACAGAGACTGGGTGGTGAAGTTATATCATATTTATCACGAGCTAAATTTTGCGATTGATTCCCTAGCAACATAAGCAATGGAAAGTCTTGGGGGGTTACAATAGCTAGATATTCCTCCTCATGCGGTCAAAATGTGGCTTCAACATGATATCGTACGTGTGGTAATAAATTAGAACTCAAGGCATTTACCTCCTTCATTGTAAAAAAAAAAATCAAAAAAATAAAAAAAATCAAAACACCAACTAAAATACTACTCAGCATTCATTTTATCCTAAAAAAAATTTGTATTTTAATACAAATTTTAAAACTCAATATAAGCTAGTTTCTTGAAGTAGACTTCTTTACAAATTTTCGCTTGACCAATACAAAACTCTCTACCGTTTCACACACACTCCCATAAAAAGAAAGCGAAAGAAAAACACTATGCTTTCCCACCAAGTCGTGATTCATCTAAAAGGAGACTTCTATGCTTAATCTTCTATAAAGCTAAATTAATCACCACCATCAATTGATTTACATATATTGTTGCTGCAATGGAATTGGAATCGACTTGGACATGGTAATGGCTTTTTGAAGATTCCCAAAGGCTTTTTCGTATCGTACAAATCCCATAAACCAAAACTCAAACTTGTCCTCAGTCACTATTTCTATGTACTTTTGTGCTGGATTTTCTGTATTCTCACTTTCGCTTGCTCTTTCAATCTTCCTCACTGGGATTGATACCTGCAGAATCCATGCATAGGAAGTAAGCCAAATGAATCAACATGCATTTATAAAGTTTTGTGACGAAATTGAAGCTATTACTACGAATTAATAAAATACAACGTGAATGTGAGACCTTTTAATTTCATTGTGCTAAAAAAGATAGCTTATTCTTTAGATTAGGAAGAAAAATATGGATCAACAAAATAGTATCATATAGTATATTTTTATGGTTATGAAAAGCAGTAAAGAGAAATAGAAAATAGAAAAATGAAAGGTGATTATTTTGTTACTTTTACAAATTTTTGAAGTTATTTTTGTAATTTTAAAATTATTTGGGTATTTTTGTAATTAAAACTAACAAAAATCTGTTATGTTAAACAGAAATTGGGCAAAGTAGATAAAAGTGACGAAAGTTTGATAAATATAAGGGCAATACTCGTTAACCGGAAAAAAAAAGAGAAAAAAGATAACATTGACAAAATATGTAAAGTTTTAGGTAGAACATGTAAAGATAACATTAACATATTAGAACTATTTTTATAGGAGTGGGGAGTTTTATCTTATGCCAAATAACGATTGTGATTTGAACTTAGGTAAGCTTGTACATTTGCAGGTAAGCGTCCAACACAAGGTAGGTTCCTCGAAACCCCAGTACCAATAAGGACATTGAAATTGAGCTGGAGATCCCATCCAATTTGTATTTGATAATATTGTATATGCATGATGATCAATTAAATACTCTAATTTGAAAAGTCAAACTTGTAGATATTCTCTCAATTAATCATTTTGTGTTAGTACCACTTTTTAAAAAAACAAACTCCTCACAACTAATACTAGCTAGGACCCGCATTTTGTTTTTCCCTTCCAAGTTCGTTATGAAAATTATAACTCGTATTAAATTTTAAATTATGAAGATTCCGTCAACAACTCCAATGGAAAAATGCAAGTAAACATTTTGGTGACCAGATCTCATCCTATTACATTGTCTGAATGACAAAAATCTTTATAGAAACTTCGTTCAGTTATTTAGAAAGGTATTTTATTTATTACTTTGTTTTAGTTCAATGCTTGTGATAATTTTTTATTTTATTTTATTTTTTATTGTTTGTGACGAAAGAAATGTTGTTCCCCAAAAAGCATGTAAATTTCTTTCTACCCTTTTCCTGATTTAATTTACAACATGCACTTCAAGATGAAACTACACAAATAATATATATGAAACAGGACTGCTTAATAAAGAAATAAAAACAAAGATATGGAGGATTAGAGAGTTGACCTTGTATGACGTTCTAACTGCTCCGCCCGTAGAAGAAGATAACCTAATCTTCCTTTCGCTGCAGAAGGCAACCTTCTCCGTGGAAATGAACAGTATTCCGGCAATCGGACCTGCCGTCGTCGACAAATAACACTGTGAAGCTTTTAATAGCTGCTCCCCTTCACTGACACTGAACAAATTCCTAAATATATTTTCCCGTCCGCCTTTCCGAATTATATTGGCTCCCAAACTCAATTTCCCCTTCAAGGTTTCGGAGAATTTAGGCCCCAATTTCACTGCCAAAAAAAAAAAAAAAAAAATCAATCAAACAAATTGTTTTCCAAATCCATTAAAACGGAAAAAAAAAATTAAAAAAAATGCTATTATAATCGTAATTAACTTACCATGCTCACGGATTCTGTACATATAACTATTAGCCTTCTTCTCAAGCTTGTTCTTCTTATTAGTACGAAAAGCCAGAACGGAATCGCCTTGTTTATCTTCTAAATCACAAAGGAAAATATTTTGAGCAAAATTAACCTAATGAAAACGGAACCCAAGAAGGAAAAACTCATTAAAATTAATAATCAAACAAACGTACCTGAACCTGAGGTAGGGGAAAAGTCATCTGATGAGTTGTAAGGACTTTCCGATGAACTTGTTAGTCGAAACACCGGAGATTGGATTTCTGGAGTTGTCCGGCCGGAAGAATCCATCTCAGAAAATGGATTTTGAAAGTAATCATAATTCTTCATTTGAGTGATTAACTTTAATTAGTTAGTTCCCTTAGCTAGCAAACTGCTATAAGTTCAATTTTAATAAATAGCTTATGGGATGATATAGTTGGGAAAAGAAGAAGAGATTGAAATTGGGATGACCTTTTCCTAACAAGCTGGAATTTTGTTTTATTGATCGTGGAAGAAACACGGAAATGGTGTATTTAAATGGCTGGACGGTGGATTTGGGGTTTGGCTCCAAAAATATTTTATTCAAAGTGGTTAGCTAGTTTCCTTGAATCTGCGTTGAATTATTATCAAAGAAAAATAGTTTTCAATGTGTGGTTCATTTCATCTTCCTTTGTTTCTTCCCTTTTTGTATTTTTTAGATTCTAGACAAAGTCCGAGCTCGTGGAAAACCCAGTAACATACCGTAATATCATTTTACTAATGAAACACAATACGAAATTTACGAAATCTTTCATCTTAACAATCTTTAATTTGTTTATGTAAATTTTCATTCACTGTCAAAAAATGTAATAATGTAACATTATTTGATCAATGATATACGTATGTGGGTGGGAAATATTCATGTATAAGTTATAAGAAATGTTTCATTTCGGAAACCTTAAATTTGTTCGTGCGAATTTAGTCTTTTAATTGTTACTTACTCGTCTTAAAAAAATTATGTTGAATATATATTTTTTTCCGGATGTCCCGGGGAGGGATTAAGGTAAAAACCACATTAGTACTCAATATTAAAATAGTATGCAAGCAGATTTCTGTACTGATGATGTGGGGATTAAGACTTAAGCTACCAACTGTTGACTATTAGAATTTGGAAGAAATGGAAATTCTGCACTTCGGGCCACGGATTTTGAAAGTACGTAGCAAGTCTACGTGACGATGGCCGATGGGCTTGGAATTTTCAGGCACGTCACGTATCATTTTGATGGGTATTTAAATACAGATGCGGATAATCAAAGCGTTATTTTTCTTTTTTCTTTTTGTATAATAAAAGATTGCCTAAAAAAACTAAATTATTATACTCTGTTAGTAAAAGACACTAACGATATCATGTTCCGGCCATGATTGTCCTTATGTACCACATAAATGCTTTGCAGATTTATTTAAATCTGGAAACCATTTTCGTAATTTATTAACAGCAAGGCGAAGATGAATAAAAACAACGTTTGGAAACCTCACTATCAGAGGTGAAACCTAGATATAATACCGACTTCAGTTTCCGGCAATTTAACTATTACGTCTTTCTTCTACAGCAAGTTATTATATTATTATTATTACTAGAAAGAATGTTCTAAGGCTGCAGTCTCCATTGGACTAAAATTTGAGCAGCAGTAAACGAAGAGGCTTCTTGGGAGCTATATTTTCTTTGAACGACAGCGACTTTTCTTGGAAAATTATGTATGTGAACACGGAAAATATAGCCAAGGCAAGTAAACCAATTGAACCGTTGTTAATATTGGTATTTTACATTCAGCTATAAATCAGCAACAAACTCACTAATTCCTGCTGCTAGTTGATTTCCTTAGGTATGGTGGGACAAAGAATCCCACATCGGTGTCGTGAAGGATCTGTCACCTATTTATCAGTGTCAAAAGTCAACCTACTTATAGTCAATTGGTTTTGAGATGGGAGCCCAAGGTGACTTTGACATGGTATCAGAGCTCACGATCTGTGGACCTATGATAATTATGGACCCGTATGTGCGGGCTTGTTGACTGACCCGGTATTATATCTGGAGTTGTGTACTGACCCAGCAGTATATCTGGTGAATTATGTTGTATTGTGCAGTCCCAATGGGCTATATACTGCTGAATTATGTTGTATTGTGCAAATTCAATGGGCTAAATACCCCATTAAGCTTGAAGGAGAGTGTTGGGACAAAGAATACCAGATCGGTGTCATGAAGGATCTGTCACCTGTTTATAAGTGTCAAAGATCAACTCACTCATAGCCATGCCAAAGGTCAACTCACTCATAGCCAATTGGTTTTGAGATGGGAATCTAAGATGACTTTGACAAGATACATCGATATATGATATATCAGAGTTAAAGCGAACGACCAAGAGTTTTTACGATAATAGTTGTACTTCAATTTATAATATATTTTTCTCCGTCCCCTTTAACGATAATAGTAAACTTCATTGTGCATGGGGTCTTTGTCCGAGGTTTTTCCTCATGTACTTAAAAAAGCTCAATAGTCAATAGCAGCACATATGCATTATATGTTATTTTATTTTCTGGTATAGGAATCATGAACCAGGTAAATTCTTTTTGGAAGGTAAAAACTTTTTCATATCACTATTTGAACTTGGATCATAATAATTAAACTAGTCGCATATATACTTTACTAAACCACACGTTTATTGGTGATCATACAATATTTCGTATAATAAATTTCTTTGATTTCAAAATGAAAGTCATGTTTGTTTCCAAATGAATGTCTAGTTTATTAGTCAAGTCATGCAAGATAACACAATCGGAAATTAAGCTGCGATCTAGAAATGAACCAGAATATAAATGATCATAATAATAGGAGAACAATAGTGACTAACTAGCTATAGTACAATGAATTTGGGACCAATGAAGTAAAATTTACCATCAGTAGTCACTTCTGGAAACTAGAAGTGAACCATAATATTAAGAACAATAAGCCAAGCCATGCAGACAAATGAAAACAAGTGGTAGTCTCAGTTTCCAAGCCTTCCATCACCACTACATTTCCAGATCAAAATCCGCAAAGCATATCAAAAGACTACGAAGACGAAGACTTTGGATTTGGACCTGTGGAATGTGGAGTAGACTTTGGACTTTTAGGAAAGAAGATGTGGCCCTTGTAAGACCTCGATTTATTTGGTCCCTCCATTTTCCCAAACAAAACAATAGATAAACTGATCCATTAGCACTCACTAACTTTGTCTGGCCCGTTTCCTAGTTTAGTCCAATCTAGCTAGCTAGTTCTGTTTCCGTGTCCAGCCTCGGCAGCTAATCCGGGATTTGTTGAGGAGGGCATCAAGCCTCATTTGGAAAATTATTTGATTTGATGTAAGCGAGGGAAATATTAATTTTTAGTTTTTTTCTTTTCATATAGTAGATTATTTAACGTCAACAATAATTTATTTTTTCATTTAAGATATAAATACGTAATATTTCTTTTTTTTTTGGGTACAATAGAAGAGGCGAAACGCCTAGATAACTCAAACGATTACATTACGTAGATATGAGACATCGATGATAATATTTCTGGATAGTTCATATTTATATAGATCGCCCTTAAGATAAATATACAACTGTTATAAATGAAAGCGCACATTCAACCAAGTTGACATAACTCTCTTATTATTTCCATACAATGATTACTTCTTAATCCTCCATTCTCTACCCTTCTATTCTTTTCCTCTTTTTTTTTCCCAAAAAAGAATAAAAATCAATGTTCAATTGTACTAAACTGACTGTCTAGTTTATTATCTTAAAATATGCAACAAGTAATATGATAATTTTAGGACGAAAAAATATATGAAAAAAGTTAGTTCGAAATTTAGGCAACGATTGATTGTGAAATGCGAAGCGTGCTATTTTACAAATGCAAGTTGCTATCAAAACTCCCATACTCCCACTCTTTACTAGACTCCACTGTCTAGACGTGATACTTTATTTTGTTTTGGTACAATAGACGTGATACCCTTTGATAGCAGACAACTTGACACATATCCTCCCTCCAATCCAACCCTCTCAAAACGTTAAAATCCCAAGGCCTTAAATAATCCATATCCCGTACCACAAATTAATTATGCAAATACCGCTCCCGGCCCTTCAATTTGACATTCTCATTCAATTTAGTTCATACCATTGTAAATTAAAACGTTTTAATGTTATAACGTAGTTTAATGGTTTCGTAACTCATTTCTGTCAAGTATATTAAGCTCTCTAATAAAAAATTATCGACAAGTCCTATATCCTGCTATATCTGCATATGTTTTCCTTCATTGACTTAACATTATTCGGCGCGAGCATATATGGTCCCCTGAATTCGTTGATAAACAATCAGGGACTTTGTTGATTTTTTATTTTTTTTTTCAAAAAAGCAATGACTAAATCGAATGAAGAATCAAATTGAGTGACCATTGAGATATTTTATTTTGTTTATAAATATCCCTCCAATAGTAGTCATCAGATTATTAGTCTTGTCCTTCCAAAGATTCCACAATCAAAAAGAAAACAAAGGCTGCAAAAAAAAAAAAATGGAGATGAATGGAACAGGAAATGACCATGAAGAAAAAACTGCAAGAACTGATCATCAACAAGAAGAATATGCAGAATCATCATCAAGTCTGCAGAAGAGAAAAACTACATACAACAATGATTTAAAAGAAGAAGAAGAGATATCAGTGGAGAAGATATTTGAGAACACAGAAGTTCCATCATGGAAGAAACAGCTAACGGTGAGGGCATTCGTGGTGAGTTTCGTGATGTCGGTGATGTTCAGCTTCATCGTGATGAAGCTCAACCTCACGACTGGGATTATTCCGTCACTCAATGTCTCAGCTGGGCTTCTGGGATTCTTCTTCGTGAAAACTTGGACTCGTTTGCTCCAGAAATCGGGTGTTTTGAAGCAGCCTTTTACCCGACAAGAAAACACTGTTATTCAGACTTGTGTTGTTGCTTCCTCTGGCATTGCATTCAGTGGTAAGTTAATCTAACTTTTAACCTATTATATATTACTGCTTTCAGTAAAAGTTATACTCCATCCGTCTCAAGAGAATAGTATTATGAACATTAATCTTTTTTTGGAGGAAGGAAATGTAGGCTTTCTTCAATCCTCGCATTAAAAATTTAACTCAAAATTGAAAATTTAGTCCAATGATTTCATGATCGCTCTATAGTAATTGTACATCTTTCTCCTATTTTTATAAAAACACAATTTGAAATTGAATTCATTATAAATAGGATTGGAGCAAGTATTAATTAATCTCAAGTTGCAGACTTAATCGCTTCACTAGAGTACAGATAAATTCATTTAAAAGAAAAATTGTCGAGCACCTTGATTGTTGCTTTAAAACTACTAATCCTTTCTCTAAACTTTCTATGGATTTATTAATTGATTCCATCCATAGTAAAACAAAACAAATCACGTAGAGATTTTCTTTTGCATTTCTAGCAATAGACATAGCTTGGTGGATTTATAGGTAGGATATTTGTTCCCATACCTAAAAACGAAAGAGTGACAGCGGGTTTAGTCCCTAATTAATCATGGCTTCTTTTATGGATCGGTCAAATCGCTTAACGAAAAATCCAAAATTTTCATCATTTTGTTTTTGTTAAGGTCCTTATCTTCCGGAGTTAGTTCATCTAATGAAGTTCTTACGTTAGCGGGAAAAAAAAGAAAAGTTTTAAAAAAGATGGGCAATGGTTGTATTAATTTATTTAAGCAAGCATCCGTAGCCGTACTCATTCATTGCCATAGTGATTGTGTCGTTACGATATTCAATCCTGCATGTTGACGCCATCTACATCGCTAATAATGCACGATAATCCTTCATATCATTATTGTAACAAATTATATTTTAACCCTTTCGTTTTAACTGTTCATATCTTAACTTTTTCAACTAATTACTAAGTGAACTACATGTATCCGATTTGATTCATGAGCAAGCAATATTGAAATGAAAAGGGGAATTAGAACAATTCGTTGTGGTGTGGAAACACAAACCAATATACTTGTTTGTTGGAGTTGCAAAATTTGACCAAATGATATGAAATGATAATGGTGCAGGAGGGTTTGGCAGCTACTTATACGCAATGAGTGAACGTGTTGTGTCACAATCGGAAGAAGGCAAAACAGATATTTCTTACAAGAATCCAACTATAAGTTGGATGATTGGGTTTCTCTTTGTAGTTAGCTTCCTTGGCCTCTTCTCAGTTGTGCCTCTAAGAAAGGTTTGTACATCTTGTTTGGGACAATCAATTCGGTAACGCAAAACCCAAAAAAATAAATAAATAAATAAAACAAATAAATAAATAATGAAAAATAAATAACACATGATTTGTTGTTAGAGAAAAAGCATTCATTAACTGCGTTATGTGCGATAAATGATTTCATTTTTGTAACGAGCTACTATATAGTCATATGGTTTTTATTTTCTACACTCATTAACTAAATTTTTAACACTGGTAATAATCAATAGGTGAATATTGTGTAACAAACTTGAAACTTAGGTCTAATTAATGAGTTTTTCTGCAGATAATGGTTATAGACTTCAAATTGACCTATCCTAGTGGCACTGCAACAGCACATCTGATTAACAGCTTCCATACTCCAGAAGGGGCTAAGCTAGCTAAGTAAGATAACCTTTTATCGTTAATTTATTCCTAAAATAGTATTTCCCCTGTTCGAAAATGATTTCTTATTCAAATATTTATTCTTCGTATAAACGGACAATTATTTAGAGACGGATCCCATGTCTGCCAAATAGATTAACAACCAATAATTAAACTGAAACATTACTGCTGTTTCATTGATCCTCTAGGAAACAGGTGAGGACTTTGGGAAAGTTCTTTTCCTTCAGCTTCTTATGGGGTTTCTTTCAATGGTTCTTTACTGCTGGTGATGACTGTGGATTTGAAAGCTTCCCAACATTTGGTTTAAAAGCATATCAGAACAAGTAAATCCCTGATATATCCTCTGTGTCCGAATCAATCAAATAAAACCAGAGTGATTATACTAAGGAAATTGTAAGAACTTACTTCATCTGGCATTTTCAATGTGCAGGTTTTTCTTCGATTTTTCTGCAACTTATGTTGGAGTAGGAATGATTTGCCCTCATATTGTAAATGTATCTCTTCTACTTGGAGGGATTCTCTCTTGGGGAATAGTGTGGCCACTGATACAAACCAAGGAAGGGGATTGGTTTCCATCAGGCCTTAGCCACACCAGTCTTCAGGGGATCCAAGGTTACAAGGTTTTCATTGGAATCGCAATGATTCTAGGAGATGGATTGTACAACTTTTTCAAGGTTCTCATTGGAACCGTAGCCGGTTTAATCACAAAAATTCACGAAAGAGATGCTAACAAGTACCTTCCTTCGGTTGACAATCCCCCGCGCAAGCCTCCCTCTTTTGATTACCAGCGCAGGACTCAGCTCTTCCTGAAAGATCAGATATCAACATGGTTCGCAATCGCTGGTTATGCTACGATCGCTGCAATCTCAACCATAACGCTACCGCATATCTTCCATCAACTCAGATGGTACTACATTGCAGTCATCTACATTTTCGCGCCAGTGTTAGCCTTCTGCAATGCCTTTGGGTGTGGACTAACTGATTGGTCACTCGCGTCGACTTATGGAAAGCTAGCGATATTCACCATTGGCGCGTGGGCGGGTGCTTCACATGGCGGAATACTTGCTGGTTTAGCAGCCTGTGGAGTCATGATGAACATTGTTTCCACAGCATCTGACCTAATGCAGGATTTTAAAACAGGTTACCTGACTCTGGCGTCGCCTCGCTCCATGTTCGTGAGCCAAGTTATCGGCACAGCAATGGGATGTCTAATATCCCCATGTGTCTTTTGGATATTCTATGAGGCATTTCCTGATCTAGGCAAACCTGAAAGTGCTTATCCTGCTCCTTTTGCTACTGTCTACTATAACATGGCTAAACTAGGAGTCGAAGGCTTTTCGGCCCTTCCGGAAAACTGCCTCAAACTGTGCTATGGGTTCTTCTCTGCTGCAGTCCTCATGAACATAATAAGGGATGCAGTTGGAAAACAACGTGGAAGGTTTATTCCACTTCCAATGGCAATGGCGATTCCATTCTACTTGGGTTCTTATTTCGCTATCGATATGTGTGTTGGGAGCCTAATCCTCTACATCTGGCAACGGGTTAATAGGGCCAAGGCTGATGCTTTTGCTCCGGCTGTCGCTTCAGGTTTGATTTGTGGTGATGGAATATGGACATTGCCTAGTTCAGTTCTAGCTCTGATTGGGGTGAAACCTCCTATTTGCATGAAGTTCTTCTCAAGAAGCACAAACAAAAAGGTGGACTTATTCCTGGGGAATTAAGAAGACAACTCCATAAGCTGCAAACTACCAAATCATTCGGGGAAGATCTTGTAAATTCTAACTTTCATCCACTCTGTGTTGTATCAACTTCTGCTTATAAGTTACACCAATGATCATCAAGAATGTATGTGTGTAAGACTATCTATCAAAAGGTACATGTATGTTTTCATGATTGTGTAGCTTTTTTATTCCTCCTGAAATAAGAATCATAGAACATGTTTGTTGATCAAATTAAAGATGAGACAACCCAACATTATTTAGGGTGATGCAGAGGATACAACAGTAGCATAGATCATCACAACCAGACTATGCATAGTACTTTGGCAAACATAATCTTGCCCCTCATCATTGACAAAGAGATGGAGAAGTATATTCCACTTCAATCCAAAGCACAAATTATAAACTTTGAGGGTGGATGATAATTGATAATGATGGTGAGGAGTTAAAAATTAGGACGAGAATTTTGGTATATCAAAATGATTCAATTAAATTCTATAGTTTTTTATTTTAGTGTAATTGTTCGAAATCAATACTTCAAATATACTGAAACATATTTGGTTCCATTTAAACAGTGTTAATGTATCCAAGTTTAGGCATAAGGACGCGTGCATCTTGATCTCCTCACCCAACGAAGTTGGGAAATATATTGAATATGTTATGGAATAAATGCATGATTATTTTTACAATGCTACCAAGTAGTGTCAATCCTCCTTGTTATAAAGTACTAGTTAGATCATACGCGCTTCGTGCGTGCCCGATAATATGGAGTGATATCAGATAATAGTTACGTTGTGCAGTTTGACATGAAAAGTACAATGTAAAGAAGAAGTTGCCTTTATACTTTAGAAGGAGGTGTGGATATTTGGATTGTCATTGTCCAAGATTGAAATGGATGCTTTTATGCAATGTTTAGGACAGGAGCTGCTCCACACACCAAGAGCTTCTACACTCTTGTTTTAGGCCTGAAACTCTTCGAGGGATTCCTTCTAAGCTGTGCTTGAAAATCTTGTTATGGCCGCATACTCAAAACTAAAATTGGTTGGAATCTAGTACCTCATAGTTCTACTTAAGGAGCTAAAGATAGCACCAAAAATTTTTCTTAAATGCACAACTATAAGAGAGTGAATTCAAACAGATGTTCATGACTTGCAGCATTTTCCCATGGCTCCATCTTTGAAAATTAAGTTGCTTGAGCAACCCAAAGTTTCACCACCACCCGATTTAATTCCTGAGCTTTTAATCCCACTTACTTTCTTAGCGACATTGGACTGCTAAGTGTTCATCACATGCAGTTCCTCCTTGTTTATTCACCGCTCCATTAAAAAAGAGCTAGTTACTGGAAAGCATCATTCCTGATCTCAAAGCATCCCTTTTCCCTAACACTCAAAAACACTTTCTTCCAGTTACTGGGAATTTATTACTCCCTTTTGATGCAACATTAGAGAAAACTTAAAAAATACAATAAAACAGAAAAACTAACGTAGAGCTAGGGTTTGGGCTTTTTGTTTATTACTTCTGTTAAAGACTTCACTCAGGGAATCGATTATGAGTCTTTTTTTATAAACTCATAGTACAAAAGTGATAACTACTTTGCTAACCGTAACTATCACTTAAACTAATACGTTAACAGAAGTGATCACCTGCCAGGATTGAATTGATCTAAACTAACTTGCCATCAGCCACATCTCTTATTGTTAGAGCATGATCAACCTTATTACTCCTAGACAACTTATCACTCCTCATGCTTGAATTATAATCAGGGATGGAGTCTTGCGAGTTACTTTTCCTTTTAACAACATTGCCTGAAATATTGGACTCAATTGCTCCTTTTTGTTGTTGAATACAATGACTATGATTTCAGCCCTATAAATGAACATCATCCACAAAAATCTGATCAGTTAAAAAAAAAAAAAAAAATTAAAGGAGGGAGCTAAAGGAAGGAACGTCATACCTATCCACCCTATCGAATTAGATCATATACTTGCTTCCAGCCTATCGAATTAGATCATATCTTGCTTGCACCAAGATCAAATGCTTTGCTCGATTTCGTTTGATTTCTATTTGGTCTTTTGATTGTGAAAAGTTGTTGAATCGGCAACGAAACCTTCTTAAACTTTTGAATCGTCCCAACCGAAGGAAGAACTCGGCAAAAAAAGAATTTATAAAGTAGAATATGCAATTCTTGTTGTGGAAAGGGAGGAGGTTTGCTCTTAAATATAATCATAGCACCATTATTAAATTCAGGAAATCAAAGGGTCTGAAATTGATTGAGAGGAGGAATAGCCAAAGGTGAGAAACTGACATGGTTATTATTGGATTAATTAGTGCATTAATTGGAATAAGGAGTACCAAAAAAAAAACAAAAACAAAAAAAACTGACGGGGACGAAGTGAAGGAGAAAGGGTGAGCATTAATTTAGTTTACACGTGTGAGAGGGGACTACTCCCAAAAAAGACACGTGAGAAGGGAGAAACTTCCTTTTTGTATATTAGTATTAAAATTTGTTTGAATTCATGTCTTGCAATTAGGATTGGAAGGAGTAATAATTGAGTTAGAAAAACATTAACTTCATAATTTCAAGAGTATTAATCCTATTACTCCATTTTGTGTATTCATAATAAGAGTTTTCATTTAGGTCTCGTTTGATAAAACTTAATTTGAGTATGAAGTCTGAAATCTGAACACTGAATCGTAAGTACTGAACTGGTTAAGTTTGTCTTGTTTGATAAAATTCAAAATCTGAAGACTGAATAAAATGTTTGAAATCTGAAGTCTGAACACTGAAATTTAAAGTATCTCAACTTATAATTTTATCGTAAATATAATTGATTTATATGAAACTATGATAATAAAATAATAGTATTGTTATAAAATTATGTAATAAAAATATTAAAATTTTATTATGTAATTATTTTTCCAGTTAATAATAATGTAATATCTTTATCATTGTTGAAAAATATATGATCATGGCATTAAAATTAATATTTATTAAATAAAAATACATTATATAAATTTTAATTTATAAATAAACATTGAGATTAATAAAAATGTTTCAAGATAGAACATCAAAAGTATAAACATAAAAGTAAATAAATAGAAAGAAAAAAATCGCCTCAAAGAATTCAGTTCAGATATAAGTAATATCCCTATCACTTATTTTTGGACTCACATTTATACTAACATTTCAGACTCACTTAATTTATTAAAACATTCTACTTTGAGTTATCAAACGCACTTAAAATTTAAGTATTTAATTAGTTTAGTTCTTAATCAATTAAGTTGTTATGATATGGTGTTATCAAACAATGCTAATCAATTAAGAAGTTAATTAATAAGTGTAAGTGTTGAATTGGTTTATCAAACAGGGTCTTAAACGGAAACAAAATTGTTTCTGATAAAATCCACCAGATTAGAACCTGGAATGGAAATTTTGGTTCCTCTTCCTGTCGGGGAACCACTTAGAAAATGTAGCAACCTATGACTTAGAATTTTCAGGCACATATCAAATGGACCGGCACAATCAAGGCTTATTATCATCACTGTCCAAGACAAGTCCATGAGCTGAAAACTACCAATGATTCAGTGAAGATTATGTAAATTTTCATTTCCTCTACCGTTGTGTTGATTCGACATCTACACAAAGATTATAAATATTTGTACACACAATACTAAGACTACCTCAAACACTTATATAATGCGCATGCTTTCTCGATTGGGTATCCCCTTTTATCTCTCCTGTCGCGAAATATGACTTATGTAACCTATTTGCCTACTTAGAGTAACAGAAGCGCACAACCATACATCATTTAGATATACAGAGGATAAACAAGCATTATATACTATCCCAAGTAACTATCCATTTAGATTACTCATAAACAATGTCCATAATGCAAAGGCAAGACGAGCGTTATAAAAAAAAAGTTTCCACACAAAACAAGAACTAAACATTCACCTACTTCGGCAGAGATGCAGAAGCATGTTCCATCCAACCCAAAGCAAGTAGTTAGAAATTTTGGGTGAGGATGATTGTGATAAGTTGTATCTGGCCAAAGACTTTTTCCTTGTTTTCTATAAGTGGATGGAAAATAAACATAGTCATAAATGTAAGCGATATCAGGTTCTTGAATATTTTCTAATAGTTGTAAAAATTTGAAACTATTTTATGATTGACTTCCAACATCAGGCAACAAATTAAGTTCGAAAAATAAAATTAACTGAATAATTTTAACAAAAAAAGGGTAATCCTATTACTATATTTTGGTTGCCTATTAAGCAATATGACCGTAGGAGCATCATAATGTACATTCACATTCACATTCAAATGAGAAAAAGAAAAGTGTGAGTTTGATATGTAGCCGCTTTTCGTGTTCCATTTCAGAAAAACAAAATTATATTCCACATATAAGTCACCAACAGCGGACTTACATTAGAAACTGAAAGCCTCGGAAATTTTGCTCCTAAACTTCCAGTCGGGGAACTGATCAAAGTGAGAAAGTCTAGCCACATACAAATTTTCTGGCACTTATGACAAGTTTCATGGAGATATTTTCTTTTGGTTCTATTCCATATTAAAATTTAACATTTGTAGAAAGTAATCATTAAGAAATATCAATCAAGGTTAATTTTGCAGAAACAAAAATTAAAAGTTGAAACCAATGCTAAATTTTGGACAAAGCATTATGCTGAATTCCTCTTATATCCTCTCAGAAATGATCCTCTTTAACATGGTGATCAAAGTTTCATATGTAAATAATGTCTATAAGTATAAAACTTCTGTAAAAAAATTCAGTCTATTGTTTAGCATGAAAAAGAAACATCATGACTCGAGGGTGATGATACGGATACTTCCTAGTTCAGTTCTAGCTCTGATTGGGTTAAACCTCCTATTTGCACGAAGTTCCTCTCAAGAAGCACTAACAAAAAGGTAAAACATAGTGGCAATAAGACATTCCTACCTAAGAATATACCAATCATACATTATTAGATTGATACAGAAGATAGGCTAGCATCCGATAAGATCCAGCTGTAAGACCTTTTCAAGGGTGCAAAGTGGCAGTACCTTAAAGCGCTCTCAATAAATTTTACTTCGCCAATAATAGTCAGTCCAGGACAACCTTTGCCTCATTCATTAACAAAGGAAAAACAGTGTTTGCCCCAAATCCCAAGCAATGGTGCCGTTTATTCAATCTCTCTGTATTCCCAAGTTGATTAAGGGGAAAAAATAGGTATATCCTATCTTATATTCTCTAGCCAAACTGCATACTTTTCAACAAGGTCTGCATCAGATTCCCTACAAACAGAAGTTGATATTATATTAACGGATCCTTTTCTATAGTTTCTTTCTCTTCAAAAAACAAGCAAGCAGTTTTAGATTCCTGAGTTACTATTGAAATTGACGAATTACAACTGATATCTGTTCCGGAACCTAACTGACAAATTCCTGAGCTACTTGCATATTATCTGTCAAGCACCCCACTCTTCATCACTTGTATTAATATCCTTCAAGAAGTTAATAATGCAGGAAGTTAGCATGCATGATTGAAGTACGAAAACACTTAAGATATGGCTTCTAAACAGTCATTTTGTTCCTGCTTAAACACGATCAATTTCAAGAGATTGTAAAAAAAATTACCGGTGATGAGCTAGCAATGTCATCATCTTCGATTTCAACCTACATAGAGTAAACATTGAGATATGACTCATTAAAATGTCATTTCTAGTAAAAACAAATATATACAAAGAAAAAGACATACAGAGATAGCCAAACCTTTGTTTTTTTCTTTCCTACAGCACTTTTTGTCCCTACATAAAGCCCCAAAACAGAACACACATTTTATTAGAAGATGCATAATTGCAGGAGAAAATATAGACTCTGAAAATGATTGGATGTTTGAGAAATCCAACAACAACAACACGCCTTTATCCCACCATGTGGGGTCAGCTATGTTTGAGAAATCCATCCGATAAATTAGAAAGTAACAATAAAACATGGTATCCTATAACAAATGTTGTTCCATAAGGACAGTATAGGTTTAACACATAGTTTCCCGAACTACCATTACATTTTTTGCTCAAGTAAGAACTATATCAGGCACTAAATAGTTATATACCAAAATGAACTACAGTGTTTAGGTGGGTAGACAAGTCAGAGAAATGGTCAAAGACTTAAACCAACTAAAACTAAAGTTAAAACAAAGATAGAAAATGATAGACTAGATTCCCAAAAGCTCATGGCAGTTTCATTTGAAAGCCCAAGTACACATATCCGCAACATAGATCTAGACTATCAAAACAAAATGGAAAACATGCATTAGATTAGATGCATGACTTGAGTAGGAGCATTCAACTAACCATCTTTTCTTTTTCCAGCCGCTTTCCCCTTCAACTTGGGCTGTGAGCTCTGCAACATGGCAACTATCAGACAATTATCTAAGAGAACTTTAGTTTTGGCAGTTCCATTGTAGAGTATGAGATAATAAACCATCAAAGAAACTATCAAGGAAAATAATAGAAACACAAAAGTTCATAGAACATCATCTCAAAAAAAATTATATTACAATCGGGCCGTCAAAAGATTTCTTTTTCCTTTTTTTTTCAGCCTTAGCTAAAATACTGCTGTGATCCCTCCATGGATCTGGTATCGTGTTGCATTGGACAACAAACTCCCTATTGTTATCATCAATATCAATCCTATTCATTCCACCACTTTATCCTGAGGACATACAGGTCTGACCTTTACAAAACCCTACCAAGAATCTGCATTGCTTGCACTCCCTATCGTGACTGTAGGTTAGCTTTATATACCTTGGAGCTTTATACACGTATCAGTATCAAGTAAAATTTTGCATAAGGGAATTTCAAGGATTCATTTACGCTGCAACTTAACATGAACGGACGATGAAAAAGAAGCACAAAAAGTAATCAACCAGATCATTTGGTTTAGAAAAACAAGGGGATTCTTGGTCTCTTAACTTCAATGACAAAATTGCTGATAACAGACCAAGTTGATCATTCTATTGAATATAGTCGATAGAAATACCCAGGAAACATAAAGCGTGTTCAAAAGTAGATATAACGTGATTCAGGAGAAACACTATTTAATGCGAAAATGGTTTCCAGCGAAAAAAGAAAACCTTTAACGGTGGAAATAAGAGCTTAAAGCAGAAATCTCTTTATGAGGACATAGTTGGATGCATTACTTAGGATAAAAGCATATCCAAAGACAAGTATTGCACTATTAGAAGTTTTTGTAACTTCATCAAAGTCTGGAACATCTAACCTTTTCCTCCACTTTCTTAAATAAAGTAGATATGGTTGCTTGAACCATAGTGCTTTGAGTACTATGACCAAGATCTTGACTTTTTGGAGCAGATTTTGCACTTTGCTTTCTCTTCTTTGGAATTGGAGCAGATGTTTCAGTATCCTCCTTGTCAAGATTAAGTGCTTTGCAGTAAGACTTTTCAGTATGTTATTTACTTTCTTAAGGACACAGCAAAATGGGGTCAAAATAAAGTTTCTATGAATAATGAGTATAAGCACCCCTCAAACATGTTTACAACCAAAAGCATAACTATATTCATCGAGGCAAACGTACACACACAGGGATAAGCTATATATAAAAGCATGCAAGATAGCTTAAAAGTTCAATAATTTACAATTCTATGAAACTTAACCAAAGATAAAAGAAAGAAGCACTTGACATATGACGTAATGGAATATGCAAATCAAAGGATATTGTTAAGGCTATCTCCGCGATGGATGTCCACAACTGAAACCTCTTCCTCCCCCAAGATTTCCTCCTCATTGTCGCCAATATCACCTTCCGCCCCATTTTCGACGACATCATCTCCAGAAGATTCGTCAGCATACCTGACATATGATAGATTAGCAGCCAAATTAGCTATTAAACAAGAGAAGGTTCCCCCTGACATCAAATTGCAATGTTTAATTGGTCAGATAAAACCCTTGACATTGATTTAATCTTCTTCTACTACCATTGACAAGAGAGATAATCTAGATACCTAACCGGCACTTTTTTCAATCTGCTTTTCCTACCATTAGACAAAAGATAGAACCAAGATACCTAAAAATTATTTTATTTGTTCCTGTAAGATACAGCAGCAAATACAAAATTACACCAAGGTAGACACGCAAATAAGAACATTAAAACGACAAAAACACATACCTTTTCATCCTTCCTGCTGTCCTAGTTGACCTCCGAGAAGGCGTTACTTCCACAACTTCATTTGGTTTATTTTCACTATCTGTGGAATCATCTTCCAATTCATTTACAGGAGAAGATTCTGGAAGAGGTCTTTTGGCTGCTTTTAAGTCATTTGTCTTTCTCTCACTACCACCAGCACCACCTTTGAAATCATATTCAACTTGCGGTTCCTGGGCCAACAAGACAAGTTGGAAAATACATCAATGACCCTTAACAAGAAAATAAGAGTTTTCACAGAGTTTATAACACTTGTGAGGCTATCAACTTAGTACAAAAGCAGGGCATTAGAGCCAAGAGTTTAATAGAAAACTAACAAAATTCATCTCCTTCGGGAATTCAAGACGAGTTTCTTCGGGATTCTCATCTTTCCTTCCAATCCACCATGCTTCAGAAAAAAGAATCTGGAAAAAGAAACATGGATATGGTCAGAAATAATCAAAGCAATTGCAATATTGATAAGACGTATAATCAAAGACAAATGCTGTCTAAGAAGCACATCACAATCAGAAATTAAAAACACTAAAGCTGTCAAAGCAGAGCACATATATCGCCTAAGTTAAAGTCTGATAGACATGACGTCTCTCGATCTTGTGTTGATGGGATTTCAGAACTTCTTCCAGCTAACTCATCATCACGGTATCAGACTGAAAACTAACACACAACAACCATACCACAATACTATTACCCCACTACTCCAGCTTATTCAAGGAATATATGCCTAGGCAAATTTTAGTCCATAATGATGAAGTTGTGAACATGAAGTTAAGAGCACCAACAGAGTTTTCCATTTAGTCAAAGGGGCTGACAGAGTTTTTAGATCATAGATAGTTCTGAACCAACTGCACCTCCAGATGATTACAAGCATGAATACAGCAGAAAAGCCAAAAAAAAGTACTGAAATTTTTGTTTGGGAGTAAAGAGGTCACAATGTTAAATGTCTGAAAACTATTGCTGACAAGAATGAAACACTAACCATATTATCAAAATTATCTTCACAGGTAACATTTTTTCCACTTTTAGAAAACTGGAGAGTCAGGTATCTATTCTTTGGATACACGATCGTCCCGAACAACTTCATTTGACCCTGCATATTCAAAGAATTTAGATGTCCAAACTACTTCAAGCAGTGAAAAAAAAGGAAAGGGAAAAATAAAATAAAACAATAGTCTAGAGAAATTTTTCAAAGATCTGAAATAATGTGTGCCTAACATGCACAGAACAGTAGCAGTAACCAATAAATGTGCACAAGAACATTGATTGTTTGTATCACTCACATGATTCCAGAACCTGAGCTTATAATAAATTGTGGCATGTTCTGAATCATTGCAACTCCGGAAATACAATGATCATCGGCAACTTTTTCCCCTTCATATGGAGTCAGTCGGGCGGATTTTATATCATGACCACATTCTAACAGTACAAACAGTTTATATACATTGTCTTCTGATTCAAATGCATAATCTCTTCTTTACTAGTTCGGTCAAATCATTTGAGCTCCTACATGAAGAATTGGTGTACCTAAACACCTAAAAATCTCTACGAACCTGCCAAAGCTACTTTTAAATGCTTTCCTCATTTTCCCACACACAGGGGACATCCTAAGTCTTCTAATACATTTACTAGACATCCAAGCTAGTCCTTCTAATGTATTCATCCATTCATTAAGAATTCTTTCAAGCTAGTCTATCCATGCGACTCACCATCTATCTTTCCTATTCCAATTTCTATCACCATCTCAAAACTAAGGGAAACAACATTAAAGAAAATCCCAGATCAAAAAGAAAACGGAAGCCAAATTATCCAAATTTTATTGAAGGAAACAGACCTGGGGGAAATCAAGGTACAGAATTGGGTTTTTAGTGCCGAGGTCCTTGAGCTCTCCGATTTTCCCTCCAGAAATTGGCGCTAATAGGCCAGGGAAAGAAAACAGGTAACGACTTTTGCCGCTGCGCTGTGATTTCCGTATGATGTCTTTGCCGTGGTGTTTGATTACAGTCTTTGAAGGGGATAGCGAGTGAGAACCGGTTGCCGGCGTTTCAGAGAGCAAATTGTTCTCCAAAGCCAATTTCTTTAACCTCTTCCTTTCCTCCATCTCCGAGCTTTCAACCGTTCCTTCCTTCTTTGCTCCCCGCTTAACCATTTTCTCGTTCTCTCCTCTTCCTCAACTGCGTGAGTGTGTGTGTCTCCCAGCTCGGATTGAACTCACTCGGCGGATTTTGGCAAAGGCGGGAGTTCTTCCTCTGTATAGGTCGGATGCCTTATTATTTGCCAAAGGAATCCATATATTTTTTTATATTACAATTCGTATCTCCAAATCTGTGAAACTATATTTGGAACCCAAAATTGATGCCTAGTACTTCAAAATAACTTCTTTTTTTTTTTGAATCATCAAAATAACTTTCATTTCGTGTGAATGCAAGTTGAACAAGAAAATAAAATTGGTAGTAAGCGTTTTTTAATGGAATTGAGCTTTATTCTAATCTTTATTTGAGAAAAGTAACTAAACAAGTTTGTAAAAAATGATTGTTGCGAGTATTGTGCATATTAAAAGGGCATAAAATTTTTAATATTTAAAGCAAAATTATTGGAGCACAATTAAGCTCACTTTATACTTTATTCCATCTAAAGTCTAAAGTCTAAACATTTGCATTGTCAGTGTTACAATTTGAATTTGTTCCAAATAATATTAACAATATATATTAATTGGATTAATCTTGATCCGACATGTAATCGAGTCTTATAGACTGAATTATACGGTAACGATGATCGAACAACGTCAAAGAAATTTTACTATTTATATTTAAGAAATCATACCAAAAGTATTATGCATTTTCTTCCATTTCTTAAGTGAGTCTGATATAAATGTTCATGTATTTTTAGCTTAAACATTACAAATCGCTACATAACATAATTTTTCATATAAAAATTTCATTGATAAAAATACAATCCGTAATATGTAAAACATCTCATTCCAATTAGAGTAATTCGTAGGTAGTGCAGTAATGGTATTGTATTTTTCACTTTTGTGGACTAAATAGTTAAAATCCAAAATATAGACATACTTAAAGGTAATATATTCAGTAGTTGGAGAACTAAATTAGCAATTTATCGAAAGACACTTGAAGCTGAAGGTCCTTTTCGTTAAAAAGAAGTGGATAATAATCATTTTATTAATTTTATAAAATTACTTTAATCTTTTGGCGAAAAAAGCAACGGTTAGTGACCCAAAATAACGAGAAAAAAAAAAATACTGAAAAGGAAAAGAAAGGGAAAAAAACCCTGTCAATCATCCTCCAATTCTCACTTCCAAATCCTCAAATTCGTAAAGCATTGATTCGTAAATTCTCAGCTAGAAATGGTATCCTAGTCTCTCTCACACACTCACACACTCAAACCGCATTTGCATGGCCAGTCTTGCGCTACTGTCCCCTTATTGCTGCTGTGCGCACGCGACGAGCAAGGCTGTAAACAATTATCATAATGGCGTTAAGAAGGAGTTGCGATTTTGTTACTTCGATTCGAGTTGCTCGGACGGCAATGCGTCGAATTTGTGTTTGGGAGCTAGGGTTTTAAGTTCTGCGCTTGAGCAGTCCAATCGGTTTTCGAGTCCGGCGAGAGGTTGGGGCGTTGCTCGTCGGCGCTGGAGATTATGCGCCAATGCGGAGGCCCGGGTTGCCGTCGACGGTAATGTTAGCAGTAGTAGAAGTTACAACGTTGTGCGTTCTCAGCCTCCGATTACTCCTTCAGTTGAAATTCCTGTCACTTGTTACCAGGTGAGTTCAAATTCGTATGATGTTATTAGTGTGTTTTCTTCCATCATTTTGTTAATGATTGTGTATTGTGAACAAGTGTGTAATGTGTAGTGTGTAATCGTGGTTACAGTTTTCGGATTTGAGGTCCTAACATTCACTATGGCACTTTAGTTAATGTTTTGATATCCTTTGACTGTTGCCTATGACGAAGGTGATGAATGAGGAACTTATGAGCTGCGTATTTAGAATCATGCTGGTGAATGGGTTGTAATGATTCCTCGTAAATAGCATTGTTTTGGGCACTGTAATTGAAACTTCAGTGTAATTTTAATAACCGAAGGTGAAAGAAAGAAAGAAACGCACACAATACTTCAAGGCTTCAATGCATTCTGTTTCTACGTGTAAGCATAACATATCCATGTCCTGTAAACTTCTGTATGAAGGTTGTTGTTTGTGTAAATCATTCAGAGTTATTAGAGGCTCAGTGCTTTGCAAAAAAAAATTCTTAATGTCCTCACGTTAACTCTTAAGGAAAAATGTTGCAGATTCTTGGTGTTTCTGATCAAGCAGAGAAAGACGAAATAGTGAAGTCGGCAATGCAACTTAAAAATGCTCACATTGAAGACGGGTATACTTCAGATGTTATGGTTAATCGTCAGGTAGATATCCTTTGAAGTTCTGTAGTATGTACTCACTTTTCCGCACTTGAATATTGTTGGTTTTCTTTCTTTCAACAGAAATTCGCTGCCCTTATTTGCCTTTTATCACAGAAACTGGCTTTTATGAACAAACTTTTCTTAAAAGTTCGTAGTAAACCTTTGCTAGATTTCGACCTTATCCTTCTCTATACACCCCAAGGCTCGGGCCTCTGGCTTGAGTCTGGTCTGACAGTTGATTACTTATATTCAGTCTGTGATTTACTTGGTTTTGTTTATCGTTTCACAGAATCTCTTGATGGATGCACGGGATAAGCTGCTTTTTGAACCTGAATATTCCGGGGATATAAAAGAAAAGATCCAACCTAAATCTTCTCTCCGAATCCCATGGACTTGGTTTCCTGCTGCTCTTTGCCTTCTGCAAGAGGTACTGTTTTTGTGCAGTCACATGGTTGATGTAGTTCCTTGTTTCAAGCTTAAGCTTTAGAGGAGCATGTGTTTGTTGCTCTCAGTTGTGAATCACTTCTACTATTTGTTCCCGTTTCCATCTAGTTTCCTGTCTGTTTATTCTATTTCCTAAACAATTGTAATTGTTACACGCATCAGACATGGTACAGTTTAAGGTCCTTATCCGTTATTCATTTGCACATATTGGTATTTCATGGTACTGACTTGTTTTTATTCTGTTTGATCTAGGCCGGAGAAGATAAGGTTGTCCTGGATATTGGACGAAAAGCACTGCAGCATCCTGATGCTAAGGCTTATATTCACGATGTTCTATTGTCCATGGCCCTAGCAGAGGTAAGTGAAGGATGAGGTCTAACCTATGTGCCTTCTTTCAGCTTGGCAGCTTTGTTATGCTTCCTTTTCTTATCATAGGTGCTTTCTTGAAGTGTGCTATTGCGAAAGCTGGTTTTGAGAAGAACAACATTTCGAAAGGATTTGAAGCTCTTGCTCGTGCTCAATGTCTTCTGAGAAGTAAAACTTCACTTGGAAAGACTACTTTATTATCTCAGGTGATCTCATTATCTGGGTGTTGTTTCTTACTAATTACAAAACTTCCAGCATATGCTGGTTATAGTATGCATGTAAATATGGTTCTTAAATCGATTGGTTCAAACTTCTATATGGAGTCTAGACGTCATGGTCTGGAGAAGAGCTTTTTATGCGTTAGGAGTTTCTTTTCCCATCTTCAGCTGTATGTCACTGTTATTATGTCTTAACTTCAACTTTTGTGTTGTGGTTGCTGTGTTGGTTTATTTCAGATAGAAGAATCCTTGGAAGAAATTGCACCTGCTTGCACGTTGGAGTTACTAGGCTTGCCTAATACTCCTGAAAATGCTGAGAGGAGAATAGGAGCTATTTCTGCATTGTGTGAACTGCTCAGGCAGGGACTTGATGTAGAAAGTTCTTGCCGGGTTCAAGAATGGCCATGTTTCTTAAATCAAGCCCTCAGTAAGCTCATGGCTAGAGAGATAGTGGAACTCCTTTCCTGGGATGATTTGGCTCTTACAAGAAAAAATAAGAAATCGCTTGAATCACATAATCAACGAGGGGTTATTGATTTTAATTGTTTCTACATGGTTTTAATAGCTCATGTTGCCCATGGATTTGCAACAACCCAAAAAGATGTGGTGAGTGCTTGATTTGCATCCCTGTTTGCACCATAAACTTAAATAGACTGCTGGTTGCTTTTCCAATATTCTGATAGTATAACAAAGGGTTGATACAATATAGAGCACATTTCCTCTGGAATTGAGCAGTGAGGCATTATTTTCTGGCCTTTTGGACGTGTAAAAAATGTGTTCTCATTACCCCAGTTTCATCATGTTTTGTCAGATTTCTGCAGCTTTAGTATGTACTTGACAACATTTGTTAAATGTTTTTGTATTTAGATACTCAAAGCCCAGAAGATATGTGATTGCTTAATATCATCCGAAGGCATTGACTTGAAATTTGAGGAAGCCTTCTGCCTGTTTCTTCTTGGCCAGGTATCTCTTGCTATCCATTTTATTTTCTGATTACTAGTTGAAAACTGGCTAATCCCCCAGAAAAATATTGCATAATTGTTCTAGGGTGATGAGGCAACTGCTTCTGAAAAGCTTAGGCAGCTTGAGAAAAATTCAAAGCCAGCTGCTCCTCGGAGTTCAACTTTGGAGAAAGAAGTTAATCATACTTCCAGTGCAAGAAAATCACTGGTATCAATTCTTCTAGTCTTGCCTATTAAGAAGCAGAATAATATAGTAAATGGATTGCTTCCATGTTCTTTGTTTCCATTTGGTGTTCTCGTTGGAATCTGGGGCTCTTCTGTTTGTAACTTTTTAAGTTTCTGTAAATAATATGTTGGCTAGTCATTTTCGACCTTGTAGTGTTTGTTATGTAATTTTCTGCAATACTGAGTAGCAAATGGTTGCTCTTGTTTATCTGTTAATTTTACATTTCAGTTCCTCGTTTTTTATTCCAAAATCACCAGCTTTTCTTTCCTTTGAAGTCCTTAGTTTCAATTGACACAATGTCTCTTTTTACTCTCTCACATGTTGGAATCACCAGGAGTTATGGCTCAAGGATTCTGTGCTCGGTGTTTTCCCAGACACACGAGATTGTTCACCCTCTTTGGTAAGCATTGCGGGCCTTGCATATGAAGTTAGCTGTAATAGATATGGTGGCTGAATTGAACTTTTGGGATGTAGGCGAATTTCTTTGCTGGTGAAAAGCGAATTTCAGGGAATAGGCAAGCTAAGAGACCTCCTCAGGCTATATCCCTTATTAGCCATAAACCAGTGTCACCTCCCCTAGCGTTGGATCGGAAGTCATTCGAAGACAAAATATGCATAGACTCTACTAGACATCTGGGATCAGCTGTGAAGCAGTTAACTCCACCCAATTTGCAATTTCCTTTGGCCGAAGGCAAGGTTGATGGTGATGGAAATGCTAACAGTCCTATCAGGTTAAAAGGGAACTTGGGTTCACGCCAAAATAAAGTCTGGGAGATCTGGTTTGGCACAAACATTATTGGGAAGATGACATTTGTCACAGCTTTTGGCTTTGTTGTGTATGCCTGCTTTAGGCTTATCAACATGCAGTTCTACAAGATGGGAAATGCTCCTAGATGGAGGTTAAAAAATCCTACAGCATCAAGCTCCATTTCCGGGTCGAATAATTCTTCTCGTTATCAGGATGTGAGTCCTGCTAGCATAAGTGATGGAATGGTTGCTGAAAAATTGAAAAAGTTGCTTTCAATGCTTAAGATTCAGAGAAGACAACAGACAAAAAGGAACGTTTCCGAAGATGCTTTGCTTGGTGCTAGTTCTTTCGTGGCTGGAGTATGCAAGCAACCAATGCCTGAAGAAGAAGCCGAGACACTTGTTAAGAAATGGCAAGATATCAAAGCAGAAGCCCTAGGACCTCATCATCATGTGCACAGACTCTTTGACATCCTGGATGAGTCAATGCTGGATCAGGTGAACTTTTGCATCGATGTCAACATACTTGCTTTTGATGCTCTTGTTATAGACAATGCATGTCTCTCCAATTCTCGAAGAGTAGTACTGTAGTATTTTGTCACATAAGTGTTGGCATATTACCGAGTTTATGATGATATCAATTTTTATACTTTTGAATCTTGCAGTAAGTTATTCAGATGCAAACAACCTGTAGGCTACAAAATGCTTCATTGCCAAGTGTCAAGATTCAAGATCAGCCCATTAATAAGAAAAAAATTTGTTGTTTCTGTTCAAGTAATTTTGTAATACTGGCTTAATTGAAATGAATTGACTTTATATTGGATCTCTTTAAACTCATGTACTGCATAACTTCTTGTAACTTGATTACTGTTTTCTTCTTCTGTTAGTTACTCTTTCCATGTATTTCCTTGTGATTTTTATTTATTTGGAATTTGAAACAGTGGCAAGATCTGGCAGATGCTGCAAAAGCCAATTCATGTTTCTGGAAGTTTGTTTTGTTGCAACTTTCCATTCTAAGGGCTGATATCTTTACGGATGAGAGTGGTGAAGTAGTTGCAGAAATAGAGGCAATCTTAGAGGAAGCTGCTGAACTTGTGGATAATTCTCAGCCAAAGAATCCTAACTATTACAGGTATTGAAACTATTTTCTCCAAAGCATGTTTCAACTGTAATAATGTGGGAAATCATCTTATGTTTCTAGCATTCCGAGTAATGAAGTTGTGCTTCTGTACTTGTTTGTGCTTCTTCAGGTCTTCTCTCTGTATTACTGTCCTCATCTTAGCCTTTTTGTCTTTCTATTTTTTGCAGCACGTACGAGATAAATTATCACCTGAAGAGACGAGATGATGGTTCTTGGAGGTTCTGTAAATGTGATATTCGAGCTCCATCGTGATTATCTAATTTCTGATCTCTGCACAAAGTTAACCATGGATTGTGTTTTCTTCGTAAAGCTAGACTGGCTAATTTATGGCATTTGTACGAAGTTAATCGTGCGATGCTTTCTTTGTAAATGTTAGAGGCGTGAACTGTAGGTGGTATCTCAATTGGAGGAACTTTGCCTTGAATCAGGCTGATTAGTTGTTGGCTTGTTGCTTGAATCAGGCTGATTTAGCTGATATTGAAACTATCTTTTCTGAGTTACTTGGAAGATGAAAAAGGGCAAAAAAAGATAAGATTATTTTTTTGTTATTTTCTCCAACGTGTGTCTTGTTAATGGTGGTAGTTTTCTTTTTTTCTTTTTTTTTTGAAAAGGGTTAATGGTGGTAGTTGATAACCATGTTTGCTTCCATTTTGGTTTTGCTTTTAATTTATCAATTTTAAAAGTTTTATGCAAAACGCTACATGGTATTAAGAATATGAAATATTGATAATAAATGTAACGAAATTATTAGTTTAAAATAAATACTAACATCAAAAGAAGAAATTTCGGATCTACAATCTGCCAAAAAAAAAAAAAAAAGTAATTATCCACAAACAACATATACCCGCTAATCTTTGATTCCTTCAAAACTAGTCTTAAAATAGTCATTAGAATCTTGACATTCCAGCCTTCTTAAAATAATATTACTTGATGTACTACCGTTTTTGTTGCATCAAAAAAATTCTTTTTTTGAATCTTGATTCGCTATTCGTTTTAAAATAGTTTCGTTTAATGCACGATTGTTTTAGTTGCTTCAACAAAATTCTTTTTTTAATGTCAGAGTCATCTTAATCAATCAGCGATCCCGCTACCTGATGGTGTTGTGCTATTTGACGAGAATATTCAGTTTGATCCAGGCTGATTAGTTGCTTAAAGTTCAGTAGCAGCTTAGTACATATTTGTAGTTTTCTGAATGATAAGACTATGTACAGTTTTACCCTTTACACTTGTATAGATTAGTTCTTTACTAAGAGGGTACAATAATCTTTTGCATAGATGTTAGGACATATTAAATAGACTGATGATTGGTTAAGAGTAGTATATATACCATCATCTATACTTGTACATAATAACAAGATATACAGATTCTTCACGTGAATACACAGAATCAAGAAATTCCCAAATTCCTCTTCTCTATTTTGTTTTCTTAGAACTGAAAAACCCTAACTCATGATCACTTCATTTCTTCTAGACTATTCAAACTTACCACTTTTTTTTTTTTTTTCAAAATAATTATTTTCAGATTTAATAAATTCGTACGTATTTTTGTAATGACGGAGAAAGTATCAGAATTAATAAGCCCTTGCTCGGGAACCATGGGCCTTGATCCAGCCCAATAAGGCTTACCCCAGCCCAAACAACGTGCAACTGTAATAAGCACAAGGTACAACAGTCGGAAGAAAATTCAAGAAAAGCTGTTATATAGTATGCATTGTTTGTTGGCTCAGTGGGACTGAAAGTCAAAAGAGAAGAAGGGGTTTACTGAAACAAATTCTTTCAGAAACAAAAACAATGAAATAACTCTTCGAATTTACCCAAGCAATCCCTCCCCTTGAACCATACTCTCAGCTAAATATATAAAACCCCATTGCAGTTCAGTTCAGTTTCACTCCCAGATCAATAAAATCTCAAAAAAATGGGGGCAACAGTGAAAATGGAGAAGAACACGACGAATCCATTGACGAAGGAGCAGAAGGGGTTCTTAGCAATGAAGGGATGGAAACTGAAGACGAAGCAGCAAGAATTGTTGATTCGGGTTTCGATCTTGCTGTTGGTGTATGTCCTTGCGTTCATCACCCGGCTTTTCAGCGTCCTGAGATACGAGTCGATGATCCACGAGTTTGATCCGTATTTCAATTACAGAACCACTCTGTATTTGACCCAGAAGGGGTTTTATGAATTCTGGAACTGGTTTGATTACGAGAGTTGGTACCCTTTGGGTCGAATTATTGGCGGAACCCTTTATCCTGGTCTTATGGTTACTGCAGCAATTATTTATTGGGGATTGAGATTTCTCAGGTTAGCATTTTAATTTTCTTTTTTTCGGTTTTAGTTTTGTGCATTTGTGTGTTTATTTGCGGGTGTTCATGCGGATGATCCATTTTATTATTAGTTGAGCATAAGCACTTGGTTTAGTAAGTTTATAAGGAGCTATCAAATCTAGAATTGTCACTAGGCGAGTTGAAATTTATATTTTTGCTAGTCTGCATTAGCTTGGGTGGTAAAAGTTTGAATTTTTTCGCCTGTTTTTCAGTTTCCATTGTTTTCTTGTAGTTTAAAATGTGTTGTTGGAGATACAGAAATGTTGCTAGTCACTCTAGTTCGAACTCATGGGTGAATTTATTCTGGTACGTGTTAAATTGGTTATGAGTCTGGATGACGGGATCTTTTTTGGCAAGGAGTTAACTGGTCTTTTTCCGGGTCTCTTTGAATTTCCTGACCTGTGGATCCATTGTCAAGAAGTTTGATCAAGATTTTTAGCAACAGATGTTTCGTAGGTCTGTGCACATTTTTCCGATGTGCCCACTTTAGTTTCTGAAAAAATCTGTTTCCAATCCCTTATCAGGTTTGCTGTTCACATTCGTGAGGTGTGTGTGCTTACGGCGCCCTTTTTTGCTTCCAATACCACTTTGGTTGCCTACTTCTTTGGAAAGGAGCTGTGGGACTCTGGTGCAGGGCTTGTAGCCGCAGCATTGATTGCCATTTGCCCTGGTTATATCTCTAGGTCTGTAGCTGGATCATATGATAATGAAGGGGTGGCTATCTTTGCGTTGTTGCTTACGTTCTATCTCTTTGTAAAGGCAGTGAAAACTGGTTCCCTCGCTTGGGCATTGGCCTCAGCTTTTGGATACTTTTATATGGTTTCAGCCTGGGGTGGTTATGTCTTCATAATTAACTTGATCCCACTCTATGTGTTGGTTCTCTTGATTACTGGGAGATATTCGATGAGATTGTATGTGGCTTACAACTGCATGTACGTTCTAGGAATGTTGCTTGCCATGCAGATTCGTTTTGTGGGTTTCCAGCATGTGCAATCTGGAGAGCATATGGCCGCAATGGGAGTCTTCTTCTTGATGCAGGTCGTGTTTTACTTTCTTTATGTTTTCATTATAATACCAAATTTTAAATTTATCAAAGCACTCATTTTCTTCAGGGCCAGATGTAAAGTAGAATGTGTGAGATTGTGTCTTGTTGAACAGTTAAAGCTAGGGATGGAAAGCAATGCATACTTTTTGTTTTCCTCTGACTAATATCTGGTTCAATAGAGTAAACCTGGTCAATGTTTTTGACTTGAGCTAACAACTCTCTAGTGCAACTACTATAAGTTTATGTTAGAATCTCATTTTCCCAATGGGTCCAGTCTGATGTTTTAATGCTTTAGTCGATGTTGTCAGAAAGTTTCTCGGCTTTCAATTTTTTTATGAGAATTAAGTTAGTAAAACATAGTTGTGTTTTCAATAGCTGTTACTGGTGGATACTTTAAGCGGTTGGCTCATAATTTTACCATCGTGCCATGAAAACTGTATTGTGTTCATCAGTAGATTAAATGTGAACATTTCGTTAACTGTGTGTGAATTATTCAAGATTCTATGTGATAAGATTTGTCTATTCAATCACTCTACTTTTCTTAATCTTAATTGCATCTATGGCTCACTATGTCAACTTCTTTGTGCAGGTCTTTTACTTCTTGGATTGGGTTAAGCACCAGCTGAATGATCCAAAATTATTCCATGCTTTCTTGAGGATTACAGTATCATCTGCTGTAGGTTTGGGTGCTCTTGCCTTAGGTGTTGGCACTGCATCTGGGTACATCTCACCGTGGACAGGACGATTTTACTCATTGCTAGATCCAACATATGCAAAGGATCACATTCCCATTATAGCATCTGTGTCTGAGCATCAACCGACAGCATGGTCATCGTTCATGTTTGATTTCCATATACTTCTTATCCTTTTCCCAGCTGGGCTGTATTTCTGCTTCAAAAGGCTGTCAGATGCCACAATTTTTATAATGATGTATGGTCTTACAAGCATGTATTTTGCTGGCGTCATGGTTCGGTTGATTCTTGTAGCTACACCAGCTGTATGCCTGATTAGTGCTATCGCTGTCTCAGCCACCATAAAGAATCTCACTCAGGTGGTTAGGTCGAAACCAAAGACAAGTCCTAGTGGTTCCAGCAAGGGAGCTACTGGTGCGAAGGCGGCTGCTAAGGTGGGATATTCTTCTTTTATTGATTGGAGAAGACAGTCTTACTCTTTTAAACTAATGTAGAAATTAGCAATATTTGATCTCTTTTTTTTCCCCACTTTTATTGAAGAACATATTGAAATTCCTTCAACATTTCATTGATATATTGTTTTTCCATGACTTTTTCTCCGAAACAGGGTTCATTTGATCAGTCTCTTCCGTTAGAAAGAAATGGTGCTATTGCATTACTTCTTGGTGCATTTTACTTGCTGAGCAGATATGCCATTCATTGTACTTGGGTTACTTCAGAAGCATACTCCTCCCCATCAATTGTATTAGCTGCCAGGGGTGCCCATGGGAACAGAGTCATTTTTGACGATTACCGTGAAGCGTATTTTTGGTTGCGGCAGAATACCCCTCCTGATGCCAAGGTCATGTCTTGGTGGGATTATGGCTATCAGATCACTGCAATGGGAAACCGTACTGTTATTGTGGACAACAACACATGGAATAATACACACATTGCAACCGTTGGCCGTGCTATGTCATCTTATGAGGATGAAGCATATGAGATAATGAGGTCGCTGGATGTGGATTATGTGTTGGTTGTGTTTGGAGGTGTTACAGGTTATTCTTCTGATGATATCAACAAGTAAGTTTGATTTTGGATGCTATATTATCTGGTGTTAGGTTTTTTTTTTTTTTTTTTTTAATTTTAAAGTCCACCCCTGTGGACCACACTTAAATATGGGTAAAACCCCCCTTACAAATCCCTGGTGGGAATTGAACCCTAGTCTATTACCAGGAAAAACAACACCTAACCATTAGGTTGTCATTCAATTCCCTATCTGATGTTAGGTTAATTATTTTAATGTTCTTGAAAAAATCACCCAGCCTTTGTGCTGCTTTGGCAAATATTGACTGAGTGAAGTATGTTGGATTTCCTGTTTAATTTTGGTCAAACCTTGGAAATCAAAATAGACTATCTCTCCCCTCCTTTCTCCCCCACCCACCCCCAAGTGAAATTGTTGACTGCGATTTTGAGTTGAATTAGCTTTGTGAAGTTGTGTTTTCCACCTCTTTGTCCTGAAGTTACTTTCCAAATGGTAAGACTTGTACGGACAAATATCTCAGATATACTCGAAAGAGTTGGATTCATCGAATTTTAGTTCTTTGACTCATCTATTAATCCTGATTAAACAATTTCTAGTGCTTATAATTTGTTTCTTTCTGGTTTCTGCCTCCATTTTATCTCATGTAAGAAGTTTAGTGCCAGCATCCACCAAAATCATCCAGAAAAATCAAGGGAAAGAAAATAAAACAGTAATCATTGTCATTTCTTGCCTGACCATAAATAAGCATTTGATATAGCTTTCTATTTTGTTTCTCCGTCCCTCCAGTTATATTGTTATCTGAAGTAACTCTTATATTAGATTCCTCTGGATGGTGAGAATTGGTGGTGGAGTTTTCCCTGTCATAAAGGAACCCGATTACCTGGTTAATGGCGAGTATCGTGTTGATAAGGGAGCTGCACCAAAGATGTTGAACTGTCTTATGTAAGTTGCTTTGAATTTTTCGTATTAGCTTTGAATGTAAGCTCGGAATATGTTTCTTATCGTTTGGTCACGTGTACTTTTTTGTCATAGATTTCTGACCTTTAGTTATTTCAAATAGTATGTGAAACATAGATTTCGTCAATGTTAATATATGTGTCGAGGGTTTACTTACATGAAGCTCTATTCCACTGATTTTAGAAACCCTTTGTCTCACTCATCAGTCAAATTTTTACTTTATTTTTTTTATTTATTATTATTATTATTTTTTTCTCTTCTTCTACATACTACTTTTGAGTAGTGAGCAAGTATCTTTACTATTTCCTCATCACCAAGCATAACAGAGTTACTTATGTAATTTTTCTGTTTCTGTGTGCTGGTTTATATGGTTTCATCAGAAAGTTTGTAAATACATGTTTTTAATATGTTCGTACATATGGTACAAATATCTCTAGTTCAGCATATAGCAGCTTTGAGTTCGTAGATGTTGAATGATTTCAAACATCATGAATGGCCACATGAATCCTTCCTCTTGATGCATGGGCATAGTTCATATGATGTTTACCTTATGTGGTGGTCATCAAACTTCTCTCTTTTGTTTCTTTACTTTCACCCCTTGTAACTGTTTCTTGTTGGGCCACAGGTACAAGCTATCTTATTATCGTTTTGGTGAGCTGACTACTGAATATGGAAAACCTCCTGGGTAAGTGTGTCAAGATTATCCTTGGTTTTCGTGCATCTAAAAAGTCTCACAGTTTTCTTCTTGCTAAACTAATAACAAATCATCTTGAGGCCGTTCAAGACCAGAATCCAGAATTAAGAATAAACCAAATATTCTATTTCATTATCCCAGTTCCTTCTGTCAGAAAGAAAGGTTTCCATATGATATTAGCAATTTAAATTGGTACCTTATGATGTCACTTACACTTGATAACCTTCAAATTTGACTTGGTTAGTACTAAGCTTCTCCAACTTCCTCCACCTCACCTTTCTTAATACTCCTTCCTTGAGGATTTGGTGATGAATTTTAGGAGTTGAAATTTGGTGTCGGATGGAACTTGAAGAGTCAATTGCCTCTTAAATTCAAACTTTCATGGGAGGGGGTAGGATCAGGGTGGAAGTCTTCTTGTTTTGATCCTGTATATGAAATTGGGGGAAAGAAAAATCTTCTTGTTAATGTAACTTTACCATTTTATTTTCTGACCTGTCAGATTTTGATATTTGTACGTGTGATCCTCCGCTTTTACTTTTAAACTCTAGGAAAGCCTTCCCCCTCCCCCCGAGACAAAGTTTTTAGAGTTTCAGTTCTATCTGATATATGATGTAGTATTAATTTGTGTAGATGTTGTGCTCCTGTTTGACATTGTGTTTCTCATTGTTTTCTAGATATGATCGAGCAAGGGGCGTTGAAATTGGAAATAAGGACATCAAGCTTGAACATTTGGAGGAGGCTTTTACAACATCAAACTGGATTGTAAGAATTTACAAAGTCAAACCACCCAATAACAGGTGGTGAGCGCGTTTTCGATGCAAGATCACCTCCACGGCTCCACCACCCTCTTTCTTGTCAGGACAAAAAGATATTCGTAGTGTTGAGTGTTGGGAAGAGATGTTGATTATATTGTGAGTTAGTAATTTATAGTTTTTTTACTGTAAACATTTGAGGCTCCAAATCTTCGGGATCCCTTTTTTGCAGAATCAGATAGGACAACTTTTTAACTGTAGTTAAATCTAGTGTTCAAAACGTTCGATGATATTCATAATGCATTTCTCATGTTTTGTTCGGAATTTGATCTTTTAGCCTGTGTGTGCATATGCCCAACGGACCGAGTAATAAGACAATGGTGTTGCCAAATGGTATGTAATTGCATAACTACCATGTGTCCATCGGTTTATCTAAAATATGATGGCGAAAAACTGGGATAAGTGACCTGGGAAACTATGTGTCGATTGTAAAATCTCAAAACCATATCTTTAATTTTCAGAAGACAAGAAAACATGCACACTGACATATTGTGGTCGGACTTAGTTTTCGCTTGTGATTGCAAATCACACTCTTTGGCCGAAGTTGTAAAAGAAACGCAAACAATAAAACCATATTTCTTGATGAAGCATGCATAAAGCAGTTTACTTCAGTTACTCTTCCAAGTCTGCCAGAGAACTAAGGCAATATGAGAAGCTTGTACAAAGGTAAGGCATTTTTTTGTGAATACGATGCTTAGAAGGTAGAGGCTAACAGCAACTCGTTCCAGAAATTACCAAGGCCCTATAAAACAACTACGATAACAACACAGCAATAACACAACCGAGAAAAATAATGTTGATACTGACATGAGTATTTTAATGTTGATACTAACATAAGAGTATTTGTATATCAGAAATCACATCCAAAAGAAAAGTTGATGTACATAAGTGGCTACAGGTAATTTTGAAGTATAACAATGCAAAATGGAGAAAGAAAAGGAAAATAAATGACAGGTTTTCTCCATTATTACAAAAATGTAATCAAACCCTATACTGATCATTAATCATCCATATATAGCAATATCTTCTATGTTCATATCAGTAGTACATGCAACAACATCATGATATCCTGCAGAGGGAACAGATGAAGGAAAAAATCAGTACAACTCATTTAAATTCAAAAGCACATGATAAAACATTAAAAGACTCACCATACAGGAGCAAATCACTATCACAGAACTTATAGAAACACGGACACAAAAAGATCACAGATTTTTAAGGGGACATAATAAGAAACAGCACCATCTTGTCAATTCCCAATAACAATGGAAGATCCCAGCAAATGATAGTAGCTGTTTGTAAAAGCTATCATACGCAGAATGAGAAGCCATCTTAACAAGTATAAGCATACATATTTACTTTAAGTTTCAATATAAATCAGAGGACAAAAAATAACACATGATCACAATGCATCTAAAACATCACAAATGCTGTACACGCCGACTCAGCAGATGAACTAGAAAGCTAAGCCTCATAATACATCTAGATCTTATTGACCAAAAAGTATATATATGTTAGCAAATAGGAGTTTGTAAGGGACAAATTTCACCCAAGCAAAGTGAAGTGAAATTTACTATGTCCTATGGTTGAAGGATGTAATTCTATAGTTCACAAGCAAGAATAAGGAACACCGCAAATATGGGAATAATTAGGAGGACCTTAGTATTAACTCCCCTGTTGATGCGTTAGGTATATAGTAATACCAGGTAATTGCATCTATAAGCACTAAGCGTTGTTTCTTATCATGGTAAAAAAAAACAAAAACAAAAAAAACAAATATTGTCACTCTCCCTAAGATCAAGAAGTACTCTTATAAACTAATAAAATAAAGAGGCTACCCAAATATGGCAACTCATTAAACATCGACAAAAAAGAACTTTAAGCTCATCTTTCCTAAAATGACATCTGTTCTTTTATGAAGAAAAAGTGAGGACATACTACAATATACCGACGGTAAGGCCGATCTCCAGTTTTAAAACCAAACATAAATAGGCCATTAAAACCTTATAGGTCATCTGCAATTGGCAACCAACAATGGCTGGAAAGTGTTGCATCCTAGACATTTGAAAGTCGAATAGTCAATCATATGGATCAAACCGACTCCTATCTATAGCAGGTCTTTCCATTTACAGAAGAAGTTCCACCTAATAATTGGCAAGGACCTTAAAACTCAAGGTTACGTAGTTCTCTCAGCAAAAAAATATGCAATCACATTAAAATATACCACTGAAGTCAAGTCGTCAATGGTTCCCATTAAAAGTGATGTAGCTTAACTAAAGGGAAGCAGGAGGAAACTGAAGACATTCAGGTCTAGCGATTCATCAACACATAAAGGGGTATAAACCTTTTACATAAAAAGAATACTGAATAGCTATGTGATCTGACCCCAAAAATCCCCTAGATTAGCCAGCAAATGTAAGTTTTAGTGTAATCAGGTAAAGTAAAAAAGACAGAGTACTAAATAGAACAATTATAAGGAATTTCAAACATGCAGCAGACATCTACTAGACAGGGTTCAAAATAAATTGAATATCCCTAAACCGATGGAAACAATGTAAATAACCATGATATCACGAAAGAAATTGTTAAGCTTACAGTAGAGCTACCAAGAAAATACTTAATAACACGGAGAACAGCATATGATATTCCTTTTGAAAATGTTAGTATTGCGCATTATTTAATTGTGCACACCCATCAAACATGGAACAACTATTACAGGCTGGTTTCTGAGACATTTAAGGCACAACAAGCACCAATGAAAAATTCTAGAAAAACAAACAACCAATTTATCCATCAAAACTCCGAAAGTACTCGAACCACATACTTTTAATCCACGTCCTCCATCCTAGGATGTCCTCCGGAGTCTGCATTTGAACCTCCACTGTTGTTATTGTTCCCCCCATCAGTATTTCCAGCTCCACCACTACCACTAGTCTCTGCAGGTGATCCAAATCCTCTGAAAAGCCATGGCAACGATATCCTAAACCTTCTCTCCACAGTCCTTGGTGTCTGCGGACTCTCTTGATTCCCAAGGCCGCTTAGACCAACACCTCCGGAGCCGGCATTACTATCGGTTCCAAAATTGAAACCAAAACTAGGAAAATTGTTACTACTATTGTTGTTGCTGTTACTATTATTGTTATTGGGACTCTGCTGCCCATTTCTTCTGCTCTCATAATCAGGGTCATCTGTAGGTAACTCATACCGGCATACAGGGCAAGAATTATGCAACTCTAACCATGGCAATATACAATCAGAATGATATATATGCTTACACGGCATCTGCTTGGCTTCCTCACCGAGCTCAAAGCTATCTTTACAAACTGCACATTGCGAAGAATCCGATTCCAACAACTCCTCTGTCATCTTGATAACCGGCAAACCCTCCACAGCAGACTTAGCAGCCGGTGGCGTCCCATACCTATTTGGATCATTCTCAGCTAATTGCTGAATCAACTGTTCCAAACCAGGCCCGACAAAATAATCACCGATATTCCCAGGCAAACGCATTCCTCCGCTGCCACCAAAACCAATCCCCATGCCACCACCTCCGGGGCTCTCAAACACAAACTGTATATCAGCTCCGCCGGCTCGAAGACTATTTAGATGAGAATTGAGAAAAGCCAACGGATTGAACTCGTTTGGGGATCTGCTAGGGATACCCGCGGCGGCTCCAAATAAGGAGAAGAGGTCAATCTCACCTTCGCCATTTGGGGGGGAGAAGATAATGGGAAAACCACCAATACCACCACCGCCACCGCCGAAAGATGCAGGGAAAATTAGGTCAGGATCGGCGGTAGTTGGTGCAGTAGCCGAATCGTATTCTTCTAGAAACCCACCGTCGCAATTAGGGCAAACTAGTTCGGAATTGGGGGCAGGTGAAGGAGATATGGTTACCGTTCGATTGCATTGATAACAGAAGTAATTTGGCGAAGCCGTTCCTCCGGAACCACCGCCACCGCCGTCGTCGCGACCGCCGAATGTTCCCGCCGACGACATTTTCTTATCTGTTTCCGACGAATTGACTATTGACAATCTGTGCTTATATTTCCACGCTCGATTTCTGATTCTCTATGAAGAACTTCAAAGGGAAGAGGTTTGAATAAACAAAACTTTATTTGCCTTTTATGGATTACTTACACCGATTCTTTTGGGGGTGTAAGCCGAATTACTTAGTAGCTTAGGGAGTAAAGTGAAAATAATCAACTACAATTATTTATCCTTATAGTTATAATTATTATACTTAAATAAAAGACACAGTAGACAAGAAATAATATCCAAGAAATATTCAAGGAGGCACTTTCAAATCGATCTCGTCCGTCGGATGGTCTTGATATGATGTCAGCGACTTATTAATGTTAAAAACGAAATTTTCTAAATTCAACCCATCCCAATTAAAAAATTCCCGCAAGCTTTTGGAATAAAACAACCCCAAACAAAAAACGACGTCGTTCGCCATTCTTGCGAGGCTTTTTCCCAAAAAACCTCAACCCTATATACGACGCTGTCCCTTAGTCTGGTCTACTCTAACATAAATAAAATTCCCCATCATCTCGCCGTTCTCCACATTTTCGACTTCCCCCTTCGCCGCTTCTCCCTCCGGCAACCTCCGTCAAAGATTTCCCCCTTCGCCTCTTCTCCCTCCACCACCCTCAGTCTAAGATTCAGCCTCTACATTTTCGAAAGAACCAGACTATAATTGCGACCAGGTGGTGGAGACGGAGGCTAAGTGATTGGAAGTGGTGCTGGAAGTGGTTGACGTTGGTGCTGGTGGTTTTGTAGCGGTGGACTTGTGGTAGGCTTTGGAGGTCGGCTTGTTGTTGGAGGAACTGGAGGTGGTGGATTTGGTGGCGATAGTATTGGGCTAGCAGTTGGCGGAAGTGAGGGACTTGTAGCCGATGCTATCGAGGACGGAGATGGGGGATAATATTAGGAAAATTTCCTTTTGTTAATTTGTATTACATTAGGTTTAGAAAAATTACCAATTTCCTGATTCTATTACAATTAGAAAATTTTTATTACAGTTGATTCTTCTAGAATTGTATAACAATTGGGAAATTCTTTCATTGATTAACATGCCTATAAATAGCGGGAATTTGTTAGAACTACAGCCACATCGATTCTAAAGTTTGAAGCCGCACATCTCTGCTTTGAGCTTCCAGGCCACGGGGATTTTTTGAAGCTTTCAACTTTCTTCTCCGACTACAATTAGGGATTTATTCAAGATTTTCCCAACATTAATTTGCGCATCTCAGGTACGATCTTGTTTTTGTTCCTTTTTTCTTGGTATGTACAACAGTGATTTTATGTTGATTATTTGCCATTGTTTTGTCAAGTTTTTGTTTTATATGATATTGCGTTGTTTTTTCAAACGCTTTAAGAAAGGCATAAGTTCTAAGGCCACATGTGCAAATTGATTCTTGTGATTATGCTGTAAGTTTGCTATTTGTACCTATATAGGTATTTGGTATTTATTTAAATTATTAGTAGACAATTGGATGTTAATGATATCGTTTTGGTTCAGTCCATGGATCCAGAATACTATAGCTGTTGCTATTGCGATTTTTCTAGGTTGCGTATTTGCTTTCTTGTATCCCAATGGATTGTTCTCCCAATGAATTTGGTCACTTATGTAGACTCTCTTTGGTGATACTGACTACACTGTAGTTGCAAGTTTTAAACTTTTTTCCCTTGTTTTTGCCCCCCTTGAATTAGACATACCAGCTTTACATCTGAAATAAGTTTTTAAGTTATTAATGAGAGGCCTTCTTATTCTAATAGCAAAGTATATTGGTACGTGACACTAATGGGATGAATTTAGAGTAAATTTCCGTATATTTAGAGGGCTTCATTATGTCGATTATCACGATGGCCCTTGCCCAGCATGATGTGATAAGGATCTACTTTTAATCTGCCACGTCTATCCGTGACGTGTTTCTCTTTTTTGTGTTAATTCATTAACCTTGTGTGTACCACCAGCTAATGTGTTTGTATGATTTGATAAGTTGAGAGGGTTGTATTTGGCCGAATAGCGCGTGTATCTCGTCCATTAGTAATTAGCAATGCATTTACTGCATTGGCCTTGCACCGTACGTTTTAAATTACCTGAAAGTTGAAACCTTCAGATGATTTAGGTAAAAAAAAAAATGTATGCATAAATTTTGAGTAGCAATTTTTTGTTTTTGTTTTTTATTCAGGTTCGAGCGAGCTTCATATTCAGTTTTGATTTCTGATATTTAACTAATTATGTGCTTTGATATTTTGTTGCATAAATGCTTATATGAGTATTACAAAACTAATTGAACCGTAAGAGCATAAACTTCCAAATTGATGGTGCATAATTGATTGGTTTTGTTGTTTGGTTTAAACCGAGCGTGTCTCTAATTATTTCTCGTAGAAGCTGAAATTGAAATAAGTTCATTTCATTTGTTTTAGGAGTCATGAGATTGAAAGCTACACAGTTTCAGGCCAAGTGAGGTTGTAAAGCATGTATTGCGCAGACTGTAGCATCACTGCAGAAGCTATTAACTTGACAAGTAAGAATACGTCTAGATGAAAAGATAAAGACTACAGGCATAGCACAATTACATGTCCAGCTCCTTGTAATAATAAACGGTCATGATCCCTGCTTGTCCACTGTTGAATATGGCTTTCATCAACATCGTCATAAAATTTCCTTCACAGGTAGCAACTTCTCCTAGATTTAGGGGATATTGTTTCAGCTTAACAAGGAAGAAGTTTCCCAATCATCTCGCGTACCTATTTATCTTGTTACGGTTCTTGATGTAAGTTACAGCATGGAAGGTACCAAGATTGCATTGTTAAAGCAGGCTATGGGGTTTCTGATACCATACCTTGGTCCCAATGGCATGCTCTCCGCTGTCGCCTTCTCTCACAATTTTCGGCGTCTAGTCCCGCTTCGTAGGATGTTTGAATCAGGAAGGCTGGAAGCACTAGAAGCTGTTAATCGTCTAGAGCAGACGGAGGGACTGACATTGCTCAAGGGTTGCACAATAGCGCTAAGGTTGTTAATCGTCTAGAGCAGACGGAGGGACTGACATTATTCAAGGGTTGCGCAACGGTGCTAAGGTGATGGAAGATCGCAGGTACAAGAATCCTGTTTCCAGTATTATATTATTATCTGATGGACAAGACAACAATGTCTCCATGAAACAGCCTCAAGTTTCATGTCAATGGGAACTTCTTGAAACCATACAACATCAAGTAATCAACCAATGTAGTGAATAGTTGTATTGCAATGAACCTAAATGTGTAGTTCACATTAACTGAAGAGCAAATTGTACGTGCTATGAGTTATAAGGAGGAACAATAGAAGTTCTACAAGCTGACTGCAGTATGATTAACATTAATAATTCTCTCACCAAAATAAAAGTCATATTGATTTCATAACTTGAAGCCTCATGTTAACTGATATAAAATATTCTAACATCGAACAAGAATTATATGATGAATTGTCTAATTAGAATGAACCTTAGACATGTCCAATAACTTCGTGATGGACTGTATTTGTGATGAATAGTGACTTGGGTGTAAATTATAAACTGGTTTGAACAATCTTTCTTCAAACCATAAATTTCATCTTCTCTCCCTACTGGACTCCATCCTTGTTCTAGTTTTAGGTAGTTGGAGAGAGACCCTCTAGAATCAAAGAGTTTAAAGGATGCCTTGTGAAAAGTCTGAGCTCAATGATTATTAGATAATCTTTGCCTGATGTTAGTAGGCCGTTTGCTATTGTTACAAGAGCTGTGCAAATTAATTATTGATTCAGTTGTTAACATGCATGAAAACATTGGGATTCAGTCGTTTTGGGGTTCTAATTCCTCACAAATTATAAAAAATGATGTTCAACAATAATCTTCTATTTCGCCATTAAAAAAGCTGAACAAAAAGAAAAACTGAAAAAAAAAAAGTTTTGTGACTTTACAATTTCAACAAAGAAAAATTGAACTTAATCCAAAAGAGTAAGATAGTTATCTTGCTCTACAGATTCGAGTACAAAATGTCCACAATTCAAATTGCGTAAAAAACATTTTGTCATTTCATCTCTGTTTTCAAGCTTGTACAGTCAGGTGCATTTTCTCAAAAAAAATAAAAACAAAAATAAAAATAAAAATTTGAAGACTTTAATATATTACTACCATAGGGAGCCTTGCACTAATATATTATGTTTGATTCTTTACATATGAAAAATTAAAGATTCTTACAAACAAATTATAGCTTACTTTTTTCTTCTATAATTTAAAATGCAGACAATTGAATTTGACTCCTTAACATTAAAAAAAATAAAAAATAATATATTACGTCTTCTTATCAACTATATATTAGGCATCAAGATAAATATCTAATTATATATTGACTATAACAAGTTTCCTCAAACAAGAACGAACTAAAAAGTTTCTGAAAAACATTGGCCACGCTGATTAATTACTTAAGGCATGCTGGAAAACGATGTTTCACCTTAATACAATCATTAAATACCAAGGTAAATTTGAGTTTAGATTCTTTTAAATCTGGAAATTGTAGAAAATTGCCACGTACAATTTAATTCTATATGGGATGAGGAGATAACTTTGGCAATTCTCTCTTTGCATTTTGTGTTAGTACTTTAGGTAACTTTTGTTATTTTATTTTCAACCAAGACAATTTTCTTTTGCTGTTTATTTACCTTTCAGGCGGTCAGAATTTTTTTTAATCGCTTGGAACTCCTTTTGTCAATGTGAAGCAGTTGGCAAGGTTGTGGATATAATTCAGAGTCCTTGTGGTTGAATTAGAGCCCCGTTTTTCAATAAGTCGGGTAATACATAATTTAGAGCCCTATTTTTCCCCAGCCAGTAACCATGATCGGTAATACTCCATGATTTCCCAAAACTCTTGTCCTACTTTATTGCCAGCATTTTTATTGTACGGAATCATTTAAGTATTTCTTTTTCTCTCAATTATTACAAAATATTTTCAAGATTTTATTTTAATTAAAAATAAAATACTAAATGGAACCTAGGATAATTCAAAACGTCTTGTAGTAAGGATAAGAGGATGAATTATTTTAATTTGGACATTAACTTCATTT